GATCTTATCAATTAGAGACATAAATACTGTCTGTCCAGTAAAAAAGATAACTCTAAGATTAAAATCTGTCTTTAACTCAGTGAACATTTCAAGATGTCCTGGTGGATGACATAAATCCATCTCCTCTAATTTTCCTTTGAATCAGTTTTGCCATCTTACTGGTTCTCTACCCAATAAGTTGAACATAATCTTTGACTTATTTACTCTATTGTATTCTCATGTTAATTTTTGGAAATACTGTTAGACATGCTGTTGGCTATTTCTGGAGGATTCAGCAAATTTTCTGAAAGAAAACGCTAAACTTCTAGCTAGGCTGGCCCTTGTGAAAGTAGAAAGGGTACAATAGGTAGTTTTGCTTAAAGAAGCTCTCTCTTCTGTAGCTAGCAAACATACCTGGATGTGATTAAACAATCAAAGCCCTCTCAGTATTTCAAAATCCCAACTTTCAGTTTTGTTCCAAATGAATGAAGAGTAGATTCCAAATCCATGGACAGGATTGGGACCAGGGAGGAGCCTGAGAACTGGAGACTCCTAACCATCTCCTCCTGAACACCTTCTGCTCTGCATACCCTTCTGGGCAAAAGTAATCCAGTGTTGCAACATATGTGAAATGCATTGAATTACACACATTCTGTTAAAGAATGGTAGTGGTGGTAACAAGATGAAAATGACAATAGCAGTTAAAATACTCCAGCGATTCCCTTTGTCCTGAAGGAGAAAAATGATGAGGGAGTTGATCCTGCTCTTCCTGTCAGTGATGCTGGATTCCTCATTATAGGGTCCTAGCATTTATAAATATATTATTTGAGCAACGTGCTCCTAGCTGTAAGTCAATACTTCAGTTGATACACAACTTAAGAAATAATGAAAGGAAAAGCTAACTGTGCTAGACTCAAGGAACAACTGTATGGTTAGGGGGTGACAAGTGAATTTCAAGTACAATGTTGACTTTAGAATGAAACTTTGCTAAACTGCAATTCCACAGGAGGAATTACAACCATCACAAAGTATGAGACTGGGATGAGCTTGGGCAGGAAAGAGAATCTCTGTTGCATCACTGCAGCCAGTAAATAATTAGAGAATAGTCTGTGTTGCTGCTAAGAGAAAGAAAAATACAAGAGCAGAGTTCAGACCAAGGAACTGCCAAGGTTGCTGGAGCCCTACAATATTCAAGGTCAGATGAGCTAGCAGCTGGCTAGTCAAGTGTGTCACAAGAAAAAATTCCAGCCTGGGAACAAGATTCTGAGACTTCTGTGGAAGCCCTAGAAAGGGAATTCTTACATGCAGCCATGAAAGACAACGGGTGAGAGAATGACCAGAGAGCAGAATCTGAGTAAGCAGCGACTGACCATGGAACTCACTTTAAGTCCAGGACTTCCTTTTCTCCCCTTTTCCAGATGAGTGTTCTCACAATGACTCTCTTGTTTTCTCTTTACAAGATTTATATGTAAGTTGGGGCCATCTAGTTGAGTGGTTAAAAGTACAGGTTTCAGTCATACTCCCTGAATTTGGATCTGGGCTTTTTTTCACTGTGGCCTGGATTCACTCCTATGTTCCCATCTGAGAAATGGGGATTACAGAATCTACTTCATAGTTGTGAAGACTAAATGAGACAAAACATGCCAAGTATCTGGTACATGAAGTCAATCACTATAAAGTGTACTGGGGTAAAAATACCATTCGGCCATTTCTAGGTTGCTGAATCATGAGGAACTACAGATGACTTAGGTTTTCTCCAATTTTCAGTTAAATGTGGGACAGTATTATTATTTAGGGCAATCCCACCCCTCCTTTTCTTCTTCTGTTTTCCCCAGCCTTCTTTTCTTATTTTCAATAATAAGACTCTCTTTTTTATGGAGAACCCATTGTATGTCAAGTGAGCATAAGATTCATGCCTAATTAATGGCATGGCTGAATCAGGGGACCACACTTTCCAAACTTAGCCCACTGAGGCCCTTATCTAATTTTTTCTGCCAAAGTTTATTGGGATATAATACCACCTTTTTAAAAAAAAAAATGCAATTGTTGCTGTTACTGAGACTGAATATGGCTTTTTCAGAAGTCACAGAGCACACTATGTGGTGACAGTATACTTAAAGTATCAAGTCAAACCTAGAAAGGTAAACTAGAGAGAAGGAAAGATAGAGACAGAGTCCCAAAGGACACTGTTCTGAGTCCTTGCTTATACTAATTTGAGTCCCTGAACTCAGTTGTCCTCCTGGATGTCTTTTTTTCTGTTTGTCAGCCTGGGTTCTATTACTGCCACTGAGAAAAAACTATTATAAAAAGGAAACATTGAGGAATTTGGAAAGGAGGTAGTCCTTTGAATTCACAGTTGGTGTAACAGGAAATAGCAATAAGTGTAATACCATGAAAGACGAAAACAAAAGTAACCACAAAGAAGGGAGGGTAATATTGAGAAGCAGCATATGTGAAAAAGAATTTCACTTAGAACAGAGATTATATAGTAGGAGTAAGTATGTTTTAACAAGGCCTATAGTTAACTCTGATGTACACTGAAGTTTGAGAGTCATTGCTCTAGTCAGTGTTTCAATACATAATACACCTGTGCTTCCTTACCATCAATTTTCTGAAAAAAACCCAAGTGTGAAATTTTATGTTTAGTGCTAAACTCACAGGTGCATGGACAATAAACAAAAGATTATCTTTACTGATGGGAAAAACATTGAAAAATAGACTACTGCCAGATGTAGCTTACAGCTCTGAGATTGGTATCATGTAGACAATAGAAGAAGCTAGTTTTATCAACAGATTTTAAAATTCAGAACAAAACAAAACAAAACAGGGACTTCCATTCTTCACAATTCACTATTTCCTAAAAGGAAATACGACTGTAAGACTTTTAGCAATAAAAAGGCAATTCTTTTGCAGTCCAGGAGCCTCTTCTTGAAGCGTAGTTTTCATCCCACTGCAACCAGCTGCCTCCTTGCCAAATTTTCCTTGCCGTCTTCTAAATTTCTTAATTAGTAATACTTCTTTGGAAGTCAAAGGAAAGTTTTCATGGCTTGAGGGAAAATGTTGTAAACTTAAAATAACCTGTGGCTTACTGATTTTCAGATAAATGCCTATAGAGTGCTCCTGTTCCAATTTTGACTACCTCTTTTAAAAATGTCATAACTAGAGTTCAATTTATTTAAAATGTAAAGGAGCAAGTGTAACTGTATCGTATGTATTGGTTACATGCCTTTATGTGTACCTTATGTAAATAAAAATATGAACACTTCTGAATTTTAAAATTGTCATTTTTGTCATATCTGTTATTAGACATATGAGAGCGGGATATAAAATTATCCTATAAACTGCTTTTCTTTCTTTTGCCGAAGTTAACTCTTCCAGTATACAATCTCCACAATTCTTCCTCTCAAAGGCTTTAGCAGTATTCTAGTGAAATTCTAAAAAGTACTGACAAGATTTTTACAGTGACAAAACATCTGTGACAAACTTCCACAATCCTGTTTGGTGGATCAAAACAGTAAGCTTACTTCCATTTGTAGCTGTGAGTCATTGGTATTCTGATCCTAGAATAGTGGAATAAAGAATACATGTGGATAATACACTATCATTTTGGGATATGAGTTCCTGATCTGTGTGAGAACAGCAACCACAAGTAAGACTGTACAAGAGGAAGTAACAAATTTAGAGGCATTCACCTTTTTCCCTAAAACAACAGTTTCAAACTTATACTGCATCTAACACAAAATTCTGTGGTAGAATCAAAGGGAAAAAATGGGCTGAAGTTCTTAATGTTATCATTTAAAAGACTATGTGAAATGCCTATCACATACGTAAAAAGGGTCTATGACCATTGCCACCATATTCTATAAACAGCAATGAGTTTGGATCCTTAGGTATTTGAGTACTCTATTTAAAAAGTATGTCAAATTGTTTTCACCTACCAACACATTGAATATATTTACTATCTGACCTAGCTAACTAAATAGTAGTTTCTACCGAGTATATCCTAGGATTTATAACATCTTTACCCAAAAAGCTAAACATTAAACTAGCGTCTATTTCCTCTAACCTTGCAAACATCCTGTTGGTACATAAAGAGAGAAGTATATCATATGCATTTATCTTTTCTTTCTGGTGAGAATGAACAACAAAAACCTACTGGCTCAAAGATGAATTACATTCCTGTTTTGAAAACTATTGAATGGTGTGATATTAGAAAATGTCATAGAAATTGGGCTGAATAGTAGCTTATTTGAAAATAAGGAAGAAGCAAGATCATACAGTGGACATTTACATTTGGCTTCAGACCTATGAAGCAGCCTATAGCCACTCTATATTACTAACTGTAATATGCATTATCTAAGCACACAATTGCTAGGCAGATGGGGTAAGTAATTTGAAAATGACCAATCTATCCCAGCTGGTTACCTTATAGATCAGGCAGCAGTTAATGCATAATGGAGAAATCCCTAGAGATGAAAGACCTGGGCTCTAGGCCAACATCCTTTGTTGATTTACCACATGACCTTGGGAAACTCCCTACACCGTGCCAAGCTGCTTTCTCAAGAGAAAAAGAGATAAATAACTGTCCTGCATAAATAATATACCTACTGTAATGTTCAAGTGAAAAAGTGAACATCTTTGTAAAACTGTAAATCAGCTTAGCCAGAAATCTTTGCAAGGAAAGAGTCGGATTACATTCAGGAACTATGAATCCCTTTTAAATCTTCTAGTTTCCTCATTCATAAATGACAGATTTGGACCAAAGATAAAGCAGAATTTAAAAAGCCAAGTCATTTTATAAAAAAAATAATAATGAGCTGCGTCTTAGTCACACCATCATTATCAATACTGATTATTCCACAGGCTTAGGGATAGTGCACAATTTCAAGTAATGAATAATAAGGTAAAAGTCATCTTTTTAAAAACTCAGACACAAATGAAACAATAGTTATCTAATGAAATTAAATCACAAAGTTGGCATCGATTTCTAAAACAGATAAAATATAAGAGTAGACATTAAATAGTTTTAATGAATCCACTTCCTTTATTGCAGTAACCTCTGTACAAAGCAGCAACTGCAATACTCAAGGTTAAAACATTAGAAAAGCATTTGTGTGACAATTATAGTACAGTATTATCAAAATATTACATTTTCAAACTTAGTAGATAATCATCCACCAGAGCTCAAATCTTTAAATTATTTCCATAGTCTTAAAAAATGCAACGTCAGAAAGCATATAAAAAGAATGTAAAAGGAAACCTAAAATACAAATGAAATAATGTAACAAATAAATATTTGATTTCAGTAATTATTAATAATCAGCTTAACACCACCATTCTCTCCAAATCCACTGAATTCTTACCTATAGGAATAATAAACTGTCAAATGCCACTGCATAATTATTTACTTCCAAGTTATCACCAATGATTAAAACTAAAAAAATTTGGCATTAAATAATCAAAATTCTGCATAAATAAAGTAGAATAGCTTCAACACTAGCTAGTATTTCTAAGAATTACTTGTTGAAATTTAGTAGAGCACTAACAGCCTTGAAAATTCTAACTTGGTGTCTAGTGTTAAGTGAAAATAATGCATTTTTTTAAAATGAAAAGCTTCTTACATTATTTCACAGACAATATTACCCTCCCCACATTATGCATATTTAGATATATTTTATGTACTTTATACACACATATATGATGCATGACATTTGGTTCCTGTAGTACAGATCACAACGATGTTTTCCTAAATGGGAAAAACTTAAAAAAAAAAATTAAGTGTACCTGTGCACATTTCAAGATAGCAGCACTCAGTCCATGCCCTATTATCCACTTTTAAAGTCCACACATAATATTGTTTACTGAATAATAAAATATTTCTACTGTCTTTCCCCCAAACACTGCAAACCTGCAATAAATGGAACAATGCTGTGAGTTATACTGTGGAAAAATCTTTTTAGAGAATCAGTTACTTCATTTCTTAATATTCTGAATTCAAAATTATTATCAGATCTCTAATTTATATTAGTTTAGTTCATATTCAAGCAGCAAAAATACTGTACACAATTGAAAATAATAATTTTATAGATTTCTATCAAGATTCATGAAAACCTGCAAAAATTCTCCACCACTGAAGCCTACACCAATGAACCCACTTAACAGTACTTGAGATAAAAACTTTTCCATTTTCTAACTGGATGACAATTGTGTGAAGTTGCAGCATGCCTTTCAGATGATACCTTAGTTCTCCATGAAACCTACCTACATCTGTCAATTTGACTTTAAACTTAGGTTTACTAAAACAAACAAAATTAATTCAATGGATCTTGATCACTTTAAAATGAAAAACACTAGCAACACAAATTTCATTATATATACACATGTGCATCTGCATGTGTATATACATATATACATATACATACATATGTATATGTATACATACACACACACACACACAAATATGTAGACATAAATCCCTTGAAATGTTTTTAGGAAATCCTTCCTCGAATAAAAAATGAAAAACTTCACATTAATAGTTGTATATAAAGCTTTTAGTAACAGTACATATGTACTGTCAAATTGTACTAGTAGACTAGGATGTCAAAACAGACATTTCAAAAGCACAAACTGGCAGTTTTCTTAACACAAAAGTTTTAAAGTATTAAGAATGGATTAAATTTAAATGTTCAGAACAATCTGTTCAAACCTGAGTGTATTAAGACTAAGTGTACTTGACAATTTAATGAATTAAGCCTAAAAACATTTCACTAAGAAACCAGTGGTCCATTTAACCATTTGATGAAACATTATTTTAATGATATATAAAGGATGGTACAGTATAGTGAAATTCCATGTAGTGTTTATTGAAATATTCCAGTAAATGACATTGTTTTGTCTAAATTTCCTCCAGAAAAATCTGTTAGCATTTCTTAAAAGTCCCTCATATTCGAGGGAAATTCTAAATTAGGACAGATCTCTCTTCAAATAAACACAAATGATCTTGAGGATTTTTGATTAAAGAATGACATGATTTTTCAGCATGGTATATGGAAGTATTGGATACATTTTTAACCTTCCCTAAGGTTTACAGAACAAATAATAAAGATAGTAACAATAGCCAATTAAAGGGGTTAAAAAAGGTTTTCGGGGGCTTTTTTCCCTAGCTATACATTTACATATACTCATATAAACCTAACCTTGGGGTCACTTTTTGGCTACCATTTTTTCCCCATATTTTTCATTAACCTGCCCTAATTCTCACCTTTCATATCTAATAGATACTTTTACAAAAAATAGAAAACAGTACTCAACACTAACTGGTCAATGGAAGAAGAAACACAGTGTCCATTTTGTTTTAAGGTGGAAAGGACTAGAAATAAAAATAACGGCTGAAGGCAAAGTTTGACATTCTATAAATTTATAAAAGAGGATATATGGGTGAAATTTGGTTAATTTCAGAAGGCACCTCAAGGCTAAAGGCTTTTTGTACTCCTTTCATCAATCAAAAAATAACACACATTTATTGCTATTCAAGTAGCAAAGGAAAACTTTACGCTCACAAACTTCAGTCCAACAGGAAAGAATCACTATTCATTAAGATTGAGATATGGAATAGCTAAAACTGAAGTCTCCATACACACATCAATGGAGCAACTTTCCTGTGTGCTTTCAAATAAATGAAACAGTGAAAGAAAAGTCACCATTTGCCATTGTGATGTTAATATGTCATTGAAGATTTCAGTTACTTCACTAGGCACTGAAGTACCATTCTGAAGGGCTGTCCACTGTGTAGAACATTTAAGAATAGAAGGTAAGGACACTCTGATGATTTCCACGAACTAGGAGGATTGGTGGTAGGTCCTTAGATAGAGCTTCTAACCACGCCATGTAGAGAGCACTAGATACAGCACCTTTTCGTGCAACTGGGAGACTCCTGATACCAAAAAGAGAAAAAGGAATGAATAATGCCTTTAAGTTGAGAAGAATACAGTTTAACAAAAATTATAAAGTCACAATAATGTAACTAGAAAGTACCATAATTATAGAAATCTTCTGAGTGCATGGAATTTGCGTATGGAATTGCAACTACAGTCATGTGTTGTTTAATGATAAAGATACGTTCCAAGAAATGTGTCATTAGGTGATTTTGTCACTGTGCAAACATCAGAGAAGTACTTACAAAGACTTTGAAGGTTCAGCCTACTACACACATAAACTATATGGTATAGCCCATTGCTCCTAGACTACAAACCTGTATAGCATGTTACCATGCTAAATGCTACAGGCAACTGTAACACAATGGCATCACAGAAAACATACAGTAAAAGATGGTATCTATCTATTTATCTATTTATTTATTTTAGAGGCAGGGTCTCGTTATGTTGCCCAGGCTGCACCCAAACTCCTGGGCTGAAGGGATCCTCTCATCTCAGCCATCTGAGCAGCTGGGATTATAGGTATGAATCACAACACCTGACTTCAAATAATCTTATGATATCACCATTGTATATGTGGTTCATTGCTGAACATAAAGATGCATGACTGTACTATGTTCTCATTTCACCATTCTCATATTTTCCAGTTTCAAAAGATTTTTAAAAGCTGTTCATAAAAATAGCAAATAAATAGTTCTATAAAATATAGTACATTTGATATCTAGCACTAAATCTCAGATTTACAGTTCTTCAATAAGAATAGAGTTCTTTAAGGGGAAAGGAATGTTTCTACCAGAATTTAGAGAATGAAAGCTGTTTATCTGATAAATCAAAGTGTGATTTTCTCTTATCTTTTTGAGTTTTAACTTCTGTTTATAGATGGTGGTAGTAGCAACCAGTCCTATCTAGAGTGAAGTTTCTCTCTTAATTTCTCTATTTTACTGTCTTACAATACAGATATTTGATCTTCATCAGCAAAATGTGAAACTTTCTAGTATATTAAATATTTGTTGTTAAACGAACAATCCTGTGGCATTACTTTTTTCATATTTAACATGGATTTTCTTAGGCCTGAGTTTTCCTTACCTATTTAAGGACACAGACTCCAGAACTGAGAAAATTTGGGTTCAAGTGATATCTAGCAGGCCTAGGTATTAGTAAGGGAAGTGCCAAAGTAGGCATTTAGCATATACATTTAACTCAAAGATAATGTATCCATATATAATAAAGTTTGTATGGGAAACCTAGGTGTGGGGATTCAGGTAGGAATCACTATTCAAATTTATCTCTCCAATAACTTTCGAGGGTTATTTTCATGAGGAAGCTGTCCAGAGTCCAAATTTTAATGTGGGATCCTTCTACCCCATATGTTTACAAAGCTAAGGATTTTTGAAAAGTGAGAAGAAGGAAATAGAAAAGTTTCAACTTAACCTATGATGACAAAGAATTATTTAGATTCAGATAAGCTTAAGGTTAGGGTTTTTTTTTTTTTTTTTGGTCTTTCCTCTTAAATGATTGCTTTTTACAGGGAGGGACCCCCAAACAACTGGAATTATCTTTTGGAGGGTGAGCCCCCTCTGTAGTAACAGCCTTCTCCAGTTTGGTAAGTGTTCTGGAAATCCACTGACATCAGAGAACCAGCTAGCATTGTTATAAGAGGCTGTGTTTGACTTCAGTGAAATATTTTGGGTAGATGTTTTCAACATGTTTGCTCATTTCATGATGGGTGGTTTACATGAACAACCTGACCACATTACCCTGAGCATTCAGCAGTTTTTGACCAAAAACAGTATGACCCCCATGCCCCACCCTCCCTCTTCATCCAATCTTGTTCCAAGTCACTTTATTTTTTTGTTTCTCCAGATGAAAAAGTTCTCAAAGGGATAAGTTTTGCCGATGTGGAAAACGTGAAACAAAAAAATGAGAAGCACCAAAGAGCATCAAAATTGATGAGTAAAAAAACTATTTTGAGCAGTGGAAAGTGTCTCAGTAGATGTATTACATCAAATGGAGAGTACTGTGAAGTGTCTGAAGTTTAAACATGTAAAAATAAAAACACAATTTTTTATAAATAAATTCCAGTTTTGAGGGGTGTTTTCCCTCATATGCTTAAAGCAAAGTATATTAAAAAATGTTTGCTTTTTCCTTCTTAAAACCACTAAGTCACCATTCTGGGTGCCATATAAATATGTACTTGGAAATTAATTCAAAGTACATTATCATAAAATTAATAGCAAAAAAAACCTTAATACAGATATTACTTACATGACAATAATATTAGCTGTGCTTGAATGTTCCTTCAATAATTCATTTAACCTGATCTGCCGGTACGTCTGAAAATACAGGACAAAGTCATTCCTAGACTATCTGAAATGACTCTGGCATGGTTAATAAAACTGTAAGTAGACAAAAAGAAACCACATGAATTTAAAATATCTGTTCCCTATTTTTTAAAAAAATTGATGTTTTCCACTATCCACAAATAAATCCAACTTAATAGTAGATTTAATTTACACAACTGGTTTCTCCCATATTAAATTGCAGGTCTTGGTATTTATGTCTTAAATTTTTCTCTTTGCTTTTTTGAGTCAGGTTCTCACTCTGTCACCTAGGCTGGAGTGCAGTAGCACAATCATAGCTCATTTCAGCCTCGACCTCCTGGGCTTAAGTGATCTTCCCAAATCAGTCACACAAGTATCTGGGACTACAGGCATGTGCCACCATGCCCAATTAATTTTCTTTTATATTTTTTTATTTTTTGTTGAGATAAGGTTTTGCTATGCTGCCTAGGCTGGTCTTAAACTCTTAGGCTCAAGTAATCCTTCTACCTTGGCCTTCCAAGTACTGAGATTGCAGGCATGAGCCTCTGAACCTGGCCTGTCTTAAGTATTTTTAAAAATCACATGGAAGGTTAATGAAAAGGAAGCAGAAGGGAAAGAATACCTTGGTCTTATAAAGTTCAAGCTCATTATCTGTTATTCGCCATGGTTCATCTTCTTTCATTTTATCTGCAATATCTTGTTCTTTATCATCTTCATGAAGTCTGTATGGTTCAATCATTTCATCAAAAGCTACAATACTTAAAAAAAAGAATAGAAAGAATGCTGAAAACCTTATTTTAAATTATATAATAAGGAGATCATAAGCACTATAACTGGAAAAGTTAAGCTCTTATCATCTTTATGCTACCCTCCATGCCCCAACTATAACAATCACTTTGGCAATTTTTATTAAGAAAATAGCAACACTTAGTCTCTCAAATCGATGAAAAATTTAGAATCATACAGGCAATACAGGTTGAACATCCCTAATCTGAAATCTAAAATATTCCAGAATCTGAAACTTTATAGCACCGACATGATGCTCAAAGGAAATGCCTGCTGGAACATTTCAAATTTCAGATTTTTTTTTTTAACTTGGGATGCTGAATTGGTAATGTACAATGCAAATACTCCAAAATTAAAAAAAATAACAACATATGAAACACATCTGGTCCCAAACATTTGGGATAAGGAATGCACAGCCTGTAATAAAATTGTACTTTTAACTGCTAAAACTGATCTCCCTGTATCTACCAGTGCCTCTATGTTGACTACCCCCAACCTAATTAAATTTTAATCGTAGTAGCTAAAATGATCTCATTGAGAAATAAGTCAAATTGTGTTACTTCTTTGCTCAAAGCACCAAAAGTCTTTCCCAGTTCAAATACCAATGAATAAAAGTAGTGTAAGAAAATGTACTATAGAATATTTTGAAGGGAGGAAAGGGTAGTTACTAAAAATTTAAGAAGATATAGGATTCATTTCTAGATGCAAAGACGCTTATTAAGACAAAATATAGTAAAAAATATGAATGGCATTTTAATACCCTATGAATAGGAAAAACATATTTTTCAGTTTCAAATCTAGTATAAAGCACCTGGTATATATTGTTTAATACAGAAGCAATCTTTCTGATTACAACCTTACAAGGTGTATCTTACTATTTTCTATTTAAGATGAATTCTTTATAACAGCTTCATCACTTATTCAACATTTATCTGACATTACATCTGATAAAATAAATACAAATATTATAACAGCCTTTATATATCAATTTCAAGTAGGATATTCTAAGAGTCTATGCTAGAAGAATTTTGAATGCAACTGTTTTAGGCAAATTCTTATAGATTCTCCTATTTTTGCAATAAAACAAGTGAAAAGTAACAGGTATCTGGAGTGGTTATAATGACTGTGGAAAGGGACAATGGAAATAAATCAACTTTTAGAAATCATGTATAAAGCAAAAATTTAAGTTCTCTCTGTAAATTGAAAACTCTAGATTTCTTTCAGTATCTGTTATACACAGCAATACATTTTTTAAAAATTGATTTTGCATGTAGCCAGCAGCAGGAAATAATCTTCAGTACATTAACTTAAGTTGAATTTGTCTGAGCAGGCCATCTATTAAAGAATCAGAAATATGTGAAGTATTTTATCCAATAACTTACTTTTCTTTCTTTGGTTTGGTATTGATGTCTCCTAGAACCATGATATCAGAGAAATCTATTCGGAACTTGCTAAGCAAAGTAGCCATCCTACAACAAAAATGAATAGAATTGAAATACATGAAGGATTTATATATAAGTATTTTTATTCTATACTGGGCTGAATTCATATATCTAAAATCATAGTTTATGGGAAACATCTATCAGATGCTAAACAATATCCATCTAAATTAATTCACACCATTCATTCACAAAGCAGACTTCTAAATGCCAAGTAGAGGATACTACTATATTCTTTTACATTTTCTGAATCTCTCCTTAGCATCCAATAATAAATGGACAGAGAAAGACAATAATAATGAAATTTAAATGACACTCTTGATAATCTTAGTCAAATTATATTGGTAAATACACGAATTTCAGTAAAAATTAATAAATAAATATTTATTTTGAATTAATGCTTATCTCAAGGCCCAAAAATCACTTTATGAGCCAAGATGGCAGATTACGTTCATAACATTTTGGGGGGGAAGGGGAGAAATGGGATAGGCATGAAAAAGGAGCACCAACAAGTTTGATTTTTCAGTAAATAAATACCTTTTCAGACAAGTTTGATTTTTCAGTAAATAAATACCTTTTCAGAGGCATAGTTGACAATGAAACACTGGTAGCAATAATAGAAAAGTTGAAGTGCACATATATACACACATCCAAATAAGTTAACAAAATAAAAATTTTTAATAAAATTACAGTTTTCAAAATTAAGATGTGAAGTATTAGAAGCTACAGTTTAAGTATTAAGTTCATTACTAGTATTTCTTGCATGATTCACTATCTGAAATGAATAAACACCCAGCTGAATTTCAGTATCTATCTACTAAGTGCCTGTTATGCAACATTCCAAACATGATAGGGTCCGCAAAAATCAAATTTAAGAAAAGAAATATAATACAAGCCAGAATGTGATGAGTAGTAGGTATCAAGTGTATTGTGATTCAGCAAGGAAACATGACCAGTTATGGTGCTAAGGGAAAAGCATAGGGAAGGCATTATAAGAAACTGAGCTGGGTTTTTAAAGAATGGAGTATTTAAACAGATAAAAAGGAGAGGCAAGTAAGAGCTGTTTGCTGTATGGAGATGAGAGTAAGCAAAAAAGTAGAAGCCTGAAGTCACAGGCATGTTTAGGGAATGTGCAGAAGTATATATTGAAGCTTCAGGCATATCTGGAGAAACAGAACAGAAAGGGAACAGGAGGGCAGATTGTTAAGCTCATTAACTGCTACATTACAGCAATTAGACTTTCTAGGGTAGGTAATAAAGAAATCATTAAAAGTATCTTGGGCAGAAGAATCATATGGTCAAAACTCTGCTTTCTGAGCACGTAACTGAGAGCAATGTGTATAACATATGTGAGAAAGTCAAAGACAAGACAATGGCACTTAAAGTACAAGAGAGAAGCACTGAAACCAGGAGCAGAACTGTACACTCAGAGAGAAGGGGTGAAACGACAATGGCATTCTGCATTTCTGTTGTCTAGAAGTCTGAAAAATATATCCCATTTACTAAGATGTAACTTTTGTACACTTTCTCCCTAGATTAAAATTTTAAAAGCTGCTTAACACTTTAACTTCACAAATATAAACCTTCTAAAATGCTTATATGTTAAAAAAAGCTGCATTTAAGTAAAATTAAGTATCTACAACTTAAATATGAAGAATAAATTAAATGAGGTTATAAGTAACTAGAAATTTTACCTTCAATATAGAAAAGAGCAACATAATTAAAATTTTCTGGATTGTCTAATTTTTATCCTACCACACTTATATTGGGACAATAAAGTGCTAAATTAGATTAATGCCCTTCAATTTAAAATAAACTTACGCTCTCCGGTCATGGTCTATTCTGTTTATTTTTCCACCAATGAATACTCTGATCTTACAGTCTTTCCATTTTTTCTTGGTAGTCAGAAGATAGGGTATCAATAAGGTCAAACCTGAATTATTATAAAAATATAACAAATCATTTGCTAAATGTTAATTTCTCAATCAAAACCTTTAATTCAGTTTAATCTCTAAAAGCATGTTAACTACAACTCAATATAAAACAAAATTCTTCCTTCTATCCTTCCTTGACAATTCAGTCAAAAACCATTAGGTAGGCCTGAGTAAGGAGGCCCAAGGGAGTCGGGGCCATTCAAAGAAGCAGCCAAATGGGACAGTGGTTCGGCAGAGTCAGGAGACTAGTCATATACAGAAGGATTGAGGAAATGACCCTATAGAGCCAGGCTTAACACTGAAATGAGAAACATAAAAGGGAAAAGTTAGACTGAAGAGGTTTTTGCTCTTTATTGTCTACCTATACATAAAAACATATACAAACATATATGCATAGAGAGGGCCTGGGAGCAGTGACACTCTAGTAGCCACGAATATATTGAATACCCTGATCTTTGTTTCGAAGTACTGTTCTCCACTAAAAGGAACCAGTGATCCCTGGATAAAGGGTGACTTCCATGGCTGGTGTAGGGAAAGTGAGAAACAACGCAACTAAATCCAGAACATCCCCTTGTATCAGAGAGTAACTCTAAGAATGACAGGGACATGACAACTGGACATCGAAGTCAGTCCAAGGAGTATCCTGTTGATTAAAATTGGACAACTGAAACATCAAAGTAAATAATAAGAGTAACAAATTGAATCCTACTGAATAAAATAGGAATCAATCAATGAGCCCACACTGACAGAAATAAGGAGTAAGATCTTCCTTACAGTAAAATACCAACTAATAAATGAGGAAGAAATGATGGAATTGAAAAATCATTATGTGGCAATCACAATAATAACAATAGTAAATTCAGGCAGAAACATCAATGGATGCTAAAGACAGTGATAAGAGAAAGAAAAATGGTGCATTTACATAGTCTCAAAGTAACTCCCCCTCCCCCACCATTCCTGATACCGTAATTATAAAGAGGGGAAAAAGTAACTTTTCAGTGGGTAAATCTAGTAAGAGCCTAATATAAGAACCTAATATATTACACAATTGTCAAAGTTAGCTTCACCAGTCATGGGACAAATCGGCATCATGTGCCACCTGATGAGATGTAGGTGGAAGAGCACAGCACCACTTCTGTGATATTTCTGCCCAAAATATACAATCTGAAATTAATTACAGTAAAACATCAAATAGTGCTCCAAAATGAGTGACATTCTACAAAATCGTCTGTAACGTTAAGAAAAAAAAACTGCTAAGGTCATGAAGCTCAAGGAAGTACTGAGCAACTTCCACTGAAGGATATTTACAACCAAGTGCTATGCCTGATTCTGAAATTAATCCTTTTGCTTTTGGGAATGTTGCAAAACTTGAATGGAGTCTACAGGTAAAGAAAGCATGCCATTTCTTATTACTATTCTCACAATTTCAGTACATTTTTAAAAATATTAAAAAGCTTACCTCCATCATCAAAAAGCCACCAGACATCAATAGTATTCTTTCCTTGTTTTTTCTGAAACTGTGTACTAGCTTCAAGAAGCTTTTGGTCAGCTACATTTAAAGGTACAATAGGGCCTTTGGATTCTAAAGAATTAGGCAAAAAATAATATGTAAGAAAAGTGAATATTAAGGTTCCTTTTGCTAAATTCCTACTATTGTTTCCTAAAATTTTATATATTCAGATGTTTATAATACAGATGGTTGTATATGGTATCCACCACAAACTTTCAGTTGTTTAGAATTTAAATATACTTATAAAATGGCTACAGATAAATACCTCTTTACAACAGCTAAACTAATCTTGCTTAATTTTTAATGTTTTGAAGTATTCTGAATGAATGTAAGAGAATCATAAATACCAATCAAAAACTATATACTCAGTTGCTAGTTTGTTTTTTTAAGTTGTTTTTGTCTAACTGTATGAATCAAGTTTACACCTGTTCTATGAAAATATTCCCTTTGTAATCTCGTATCTCAATAATTTAAGACTCAAATCTCCTTTTTAAATAAAAAGTTATCTGTAATATAACTGATGGAAGGGAGTTGATATACTAGTAAGATCCTATAATTACCACAATGAAACCTTAGTCTAAGGAGAAACTCATCTTTACCTATCTTTTGTACTCTCAATGTGACATCCAATAATAAAGCCATATAACCACATCTTTCTCTGAACTAGAGAAAGATAGTGGGAAAGGACAACCAAATACCAAGGGACCCCATTTATATTCCAAGGAATTAAAAAAATAAAAAAAATCAGCATTGATCTGTGAGCAAGCAAATGACTATCATGAAAGTTACACTAAAAATTTAAAAGCAGAAATCCACAGGAGAAAATCTGATCACTTTTGCAGAATGTCTGTCATTCACTTTTCATGCTGCCGTGATAAATGCAAACACGATGAATGATTTTGCATGATGAAATAATATGGCTACCAAACCACACTGCTCCATAACTCTCACCTCTATCTCCTTCTCATAACATTCATGTATGTTGACATGACTGTGTATCTCCCAAATGCAGCATGACTGAAAAATGTTGTAATTTTTGAAATGAAAAATATATTAGTATCAAAACTGAGGACTTGGCTGGGCATAACTGATGGTAAAGAATGGGAGTGATACTGAAAATAAACTTATTTCAGTGTCCTTACTTACCATCTAAACCATGCAGTTTAAATGAAAAAAAAATACTGGCTTCCAAGGTTTGACTATTTCATAAATGTTATGATGGTTTAAAAGAGTTTATATGAGTTATATCACCTTTTCCCAGGAAGATTTAACTCTTTATTTGGACTAATGATAGCTTTTCTAATCTGCTTTTAATAGATAACTGTAATATCACCTCACCATGGATATAAAAACTAAGGTTTAAAAAAAAAAGGTTGGAGTTAAAGAGTTAATAGTATGAAAAAAGGGATTAAAATAAATGATGAAAAATGCCTGCCTTTTTTCAACAGTGGTTGAGTTGGAGTCTTGCCATCGTCTTCCTCATCTAGATTATGTTTAAAAAACACAAAATAAAGTTAATTGCCTTTATATTAATAATGAAAACATAAATAGACCACATTTATAAATAAAAACATAGAATGAAGCGACAGTCCATGAAAATAATCAAGACTGAAGATTAATGTTTTCTGCACTGAGTACTGAAGCTCTTAAAAAGCAAACATATTTTAGACCCCTCCCCTACAGGGTATCTAATTAACACCCTTACATTTTATTCCTTTAAAATTATTTTTTAAAACTTCAGCATATTTTTACAAATTCTGCATTTATAATCACTTGAAAAGATGCTGAACTATGGCTTAGAGAGTAGAAATTTGTTTAAAAATTCATGTTGCAGATAAATTCTAAAGATGCCACTGCATCACTGTGCAAATAACTGAAAAGCAACTTTAGAAATATTTAATGGATATATATTATTTGCAAAAAATTAATCACCAGTGATTTATCATGGAATTTGATTATCAGAAGTATTTTGCTTTGTATTAAATGTCAAGTTATACAGGAAGTGGTTTTTTTTCAAATATATAAATTTATATATGCATGTATATGTACATATATTTATCCATTTATAGTTAAATATCTATAAATACTTTTCTAGAGTTGAGAGTTTTTCTAATCTCATTTTTTTCCTTAATATAAGCTTGCATTATTTAAGGCATATTGAATTCCATACTTGAACATGAAAGAATATACTACAGTGGACTCTGAAGTTAGACTACAAGATTTTAACCTTATCTCTCCCTCTTTTCTTATGTGAGCTGGAGCTAATTACTGAACTCCTCACTTTTCTCATTTGTAGAAAGGGTTGAAGTACCAACCTCTTAAGATTGTTATAGTGCAAGCATTAAGGCACTGAGCTCAGTGATTGGCATAAAAGAGGTATTCAAAGGGTATTCTCTTTGTTCCCTAGCACATTGTATGCTTCAACGACCAAGAAAGACAAAACTAAATATCATGACTTTATAACAACTACACCAGAATGTTTCTAATTCTGAAGACTTTTAAAAATTGCATAAACTCTTCTATAGCATCTATGTTAATTTTGAGAATTGGATAAACAAAAAACAAACATAAAACAAAGCTAATGTTATATCTGAATGCCAATTTCTCATGACTGGTTATAAAAAATTATATTTAATTATATACTATTCAATATTGTTTTACAGTGTTAATATTGTTCTTATAAAGTAGGTATTTAATAGTATTTGTCTTTGATAATAACAAATTATAAATATAGCTATGGACATTCTTTTAAAAGAGCCAAGAAATGTCAAGGAAAACTTGACATAAAAAATGATTTAAAGCTATTTCAATTTTTACAATAAAAAGATGAGTAGAAACGTACTGTTTCCTAGTCTATAAAAATATTTCATAATATTGTGACAGATATTAATGAGCTAATGTATTAACAATATATTCTATAATGTGGATGCACAGAGTAGATACTTGATAAGTATTACTTCTTTCCCTCCAATCACGTTACCTATTAATTCCTAACAGACTCTGAGGAGAAAGGACCTGTTTTAAGCAAGAGAAACAACAAAAAGTAAGAGGAAATGAAAGAATGTATGTTATAAACTAAAATAAATGCAGGAATATAAAAACAGTTATCAGAATCAGTTTGTGGAGTTTTGAGGCAAAATAGAAAAAAATTATAATCAAGCTAGCAAAGAACTGAAAGGGAAAGTGAGTGTCAACTAAACTTTCAACTACTACTACTCTAAGCAAACAAGGTAAAGAAAAAAAGAAAAAACAACATTAATATTCCTAAAAAATACAGAGGAGATAAACCGTACTTTTATCCAAGGTTATCAATTTCAGAAAATGAATGGGAATTATTTTGCAGGAATCAAAAGTATGTTATGTTTTATAGTGCAGATAGTTTTATTGTTGCTTGTCAGCTGGGAATAGGACAGATGGAGATACTAGTCTGTACAGAGGTAAGAGAGTGAGGGTGGGAGAGTAAGATTTGGAAGTCATTCCTCTTTTGTCTCATAAACATGACACAGATCTGTAGGGGGAATTATCTTAAAGGCTTATAACATTTTTTACTCTAAATTACCATGTTCTTTCCAATTTCGGGTTTAAACTACACCTCAAATTAAAATGTTTTATTTAAAACAAATATAAATAAAAACACACAAGATCATACTGTAGTAAATTACTTCCATGATTTCTGTTTGATGATCTACTCTAATACCTAAAATAGCTAGTCATTTTGTAGTCATTTTTGAAAGCCATAAATTTTGCCTGACCAACTAGAAATGAATAAACAGTACAAGCTTGAGAATAGGTTATTTTATTAGACACAATATAATAAAAGCCATTTCTCCCCAAATTAAAACATTACCATCAATAAGACTTATTGTCTGAATTAATATTACCTTTATGTGTAACAGTTTTTTCACCAGGTGGTTTAGAAGTATCTAAATCTGATTTTTTACTATACTCCATACTAAGTACCACATCCTTGGTGCCAGGAGATTTCTCTTGTGATGACAGTAATTCTTCTGTAGACATAAAAGTATTTAAAATAGTATCTAAGACATATTTTAACTGACAAAGAAGATGTCATGGTTTAATAATTAAATGACATTTTAAAGCAAAGATTATGAAATAGTGTTTAACAAATAATTTCTTATGCAAACAACTGTGATAATCTGTTTGAATGACTATTCATTTAAATGTGTGAGCCACAAATAAGTGTTAGATACAGGTTGAGTATCCCTAATTTGAAAACCCAAAACTTTTTGAGCACCTATATAATACTCAAAGAAAATGCTCATTTGAGCATTTCAGATTTTGGACTAATTCAAGATGTTCACCCAGTAAGTACCATATAATGCAGATCTTAAAAAAAAAAATCTGAAGCACTTTGGGTCCCAGTATTTTAGATAAGAAATACTCGACCTATATTAGAATTAGGAGTTGGGAAATCAGTAATGAGTAAAATTCATGGAACAGTAGAACCTGGTTGTGAATCAACTTTATTCTCAAAGTCAGTTACACACATAAAAAATGTAAAATGTGACAAATGCTCATATGAAAGATGATAGACAATGCAGAAAAATTCTACCTATGACTATAAAGCCAAGACCAGGGGATAGTCTTTTCCTAAGTTCACAATGAAAATACTGTTTCTCCATTTTTAAGTAGTTTCTTCATTTCCTTTTTTTGTCAGCGTTAGTAAATATTTAACTTCTATCATAAAAATAATAATCATAAAGACACATATAATATGAAATTGATAACCTGCTTATAATGCTCATCACTTATTTGTATGAATGAAGAGAAACAGCAATAGAAACTATGTGAGCCTAGGCTCCAGCACTATGTTAAAAGCTCATAGGCCTTATCTCCTTTTGAATCTTCACAACAACCCTATGAGGTAACAAATGTTTTGACATATAAGGAAACTGAGGTTTGGAAGTCACCAAATTTGCCCAGGCTATAATATCACTATGAGAAAAAGCTAGGATTTTTAAAGCAGAACTGTCTGACTCCAATGCCTATGTTTTCAATTCCTATGCAAAGCCAAATTCCTGTCTTTCAAACAACAACAAGGCTTTTAAAAACATTTCATAATGACTATAAATAAAAATACTTTTTTTTACAAGTTTCAATTATATTCAAACATCAGTAAATGACAGAACTAGATCATTTTTTATCCAAACTGTGATGCTTTTAAGAGTGAAAAGAGATACTACTAATATGTACACAGAGTAAAAAGGTAAAGTCAACTACCCTAAACCTCTGTCTCTGGTAGAACAAGAGAGAATTAAACAGTATCCTGCCAGGCCTAATCCTAATTTTTACAAATGCATTTTAAGCAAGTCATACTTTTTTTTTGGTACATGGATAAAGACCTCAAAGAGTCACTTTCAAAACTGCAGACTACTCTTAAAGGGTAGTGGATGGGAATATTAAAACAGTTCAAATACATAAACAGAAGCTTCTTAGCTATTTAGGCTTAGCTAATGCTGGTGATTTGGTTAATGGCAAATATTAGGTATGTAAATTTTTTTGTAAGCTTAAAATACTTTTTAAATTACCAGGAAATCTTTAGAGGATATGGAAATTTCCTGGCAAAAGTGGTAATTGTACCTAAATTAGGTTTTAACCTTCATTTAAAAAAAAAATGCTTTAAAAGCATTTACATAACATTCTTTACATGAGAAAATTATACAGTAATGATGGGAGACAGGGAAGGAGTATGGTGGAAAGTACAAAGGGCGGCCCAAGAAGATCTTTGCAATGACATAATGGCATAGAACTACACACACACACACACACACACACACACACACACACACACACACACACACACAGAGTTTGTAAAATTGGTGAAATCTGAATAAGGTATGTGGATTGTTCCCATGTCAATTTCCTAGTTTGGATATAGTACTACAGATATGCAAGATATTACCTTTGGAGAAAACTGGATAAAAGGGTACACAGGACCTCTATGCACTATTTTTTTGTAACTTCCTATGAATCTATAAATATTTATAAATTAAAAAAATTTAAAGAATGATTTAGCAGGTCTTTTCTGAAGACAGGAAACATTGTAACAAACTTGTTTTTCATTATTACTATAACTTATGTATAAAGCATTACTTTTGTAAATGTGAACATATCTAATGATTTAGTATTTAAACTTTTTCCTCCATTTTACTTGTGTGTTTTTAAAAATGTGGCCAATCTATAATCATAACTAATATCTGCTTCTCTTTAGTGATGATTTGGATTGAAATTTATTCTCTCCATTAATAATCACTAATCATCATCTACGTTGGCTCTACCAAACAGATCTGATCTTAAAATGCCATACAATAAGTTCATGACACAGAATTATCTAATTATTAAAAATAAAGAACTTGAGAGAATTATATGTAATTTTCTAACAAAGGAGTTTATATATTTAAAATAAAAACTTATTTCAAACAAGAATTACCTTGTCCTTGAAGATGAGATATATCCAGGCCTTCTTTTAGGCGGATAACCACTACTCCATATTGTATATCAAAGGCATCACTATAATCATTTAAAAAAAACCCACAAAGATTTGTCTGTGTTATCCTCTATAAAATAAAGACAACAGTAGATGATCTCTAAAATTACTTTAAATGTCTGATTTTTAAAATATGCTTTGAAAATTCACTGGCGAGATGTTAGTTTCATAACCTACACCATTCCCATTCCCCTCTCCAATACCCTTGAAAACTACATTGTAGATCTCTATTGTATTAACATTCTATCTACAGCAGCTGCTCAAGCCGTAAAAGTATTTTCATACTATAAAGTTAAATTATAGAAAAACAACTTTCAATAATCCCACCATATTTACTGAAAGGCAAGAGAAATGCACGCAGAAAAAGAAAACAGATTTTACTGAGAATGAGAGTCAGAGATAATTTTAACATAATTTTTACATTTTTACACAATGGATTTAAAAATAGTTTAAAATTTTTACAGTGTATCCATTTGCAGATCTATATTTGCATCTCCTTTTAATTTTTTAAAACACAAATGAGAGATCCTGATACAGAAACAATTCATTAAAACCTTGAAATACAGCTCTAAAACCAGACTTAAAACTCTGGAAACTTTGTTAAAAGCATAAATCTTCATTTTTAGCCCAAGTTTTTCTCAAATCTACTGAAATTTTAAATTTTAAAACATCAGATTGTTCTCCAAATGCTGCAACAGGCTTAGTTTTATCTTTAATTACTATTTTTCATAACAAAAGTAATCAACATTCACTGTAGACATACAATTTGGCCTTATTCCTCTGATGAATTAACTAAGGTCAGAACAGATTCACTGGAGAAAGAAATTTAATAGACATGTTAACCTTTCTCAGCTGCATCTTGAAAGATGCATTTAACACTAGAGAAGAAATAACTACAAGTACTTTTACAAATTAATAAGCCAACTGAATCAAAATTAATTTCTTTAAAAAAGTCAGGAAATATAGTTCCCCAAATTTACTCTGGATTAAAACAGCTAAATGTTTCATCTTTAAGATATAGAAGTCGATTTGCAGTTTTAGACCTTACATCCTGTTAATAAAAACAGAATATATTAAGCATACCTCAAATGCACAAGGTATTTTAAATCACAACCAAATAATTAGGGGAAGTGCCACAAGATAAAGAATGAGCAGTGCTACTGCTTTAAAACTGCTATCAATTTACACGGCTCTAAAAACCAGAAAGCCTATTTCTGCCTATCTTTTAATTCTGCCTGATGTACAACACTTGAAATAATACATAACTTTCACAGTAAATATTCACTTTAATCCCTACAAAATCAGAGTCAGAGAGATCCCTTTCGGTGTTCCCATTATGAGCAACTATGACTAAAAATGTGGCAGGCATAAGAAATAGTTCTTTGCCAAAATGTCACTTTTCCTATTTTTTTAGAATAGTTACTCCATCTCACTGGTCTTGGGTCTGAGAGAGAAAAAGTATAGCCCATGGTTCACGGGCTTTTATGGCTCATGGCCCACATTATTTAACCTTTCCTTCTGCAGCCTTTCTTTCCCTCATAACCTTATATAGAGAGTGCAGAATTAGAAAGTCACAATGAGGTTCTGCTCACCAAAATGTAATAGACCCAAAGCCAAACAGTAGTTACAACATACAGCAAATCAGCAGAGCTTTAATTTTACTAAAAGCATTTAACAATTGTTTGGGAAATCTTGTTTATCATATACTGTATATTACTAATCAGTATAAAGAGATCTTTAAAAAGCAGAGTATGAGATCTGGTTATTTCCTCAAAGGCTTCTTAAATGTAGCTATGAAAATAAAAATATATGTGAGACAGGCAAATAATTATATAGTTATATCTAAAGATACAACAGGAGTGCCAGTAGGGTAAGTCCACAGTAAATAAAGGTAATCAGATCAAAATTCACAGAGAAAACAGGACATGAATTTTAATCTTAGAGATACATTGTAAATTTTTTTTTTAAGGACAATTATTTTATATTACTTTTTAAGAAGTAGCAAAAACTTCTTTTTCATCAGTGCTCAGGACAAGTCCTCAATCAAGTATGGCATAGTGAGAAAGAGTGATTATCCTCAGTGTGAACAAGATAAATAGGTTTGTTAAGCAAATCCTAGACTACTAGAAAAAGGAAGTACTTTTCAAGATTAAGAAGCAAAGCTGGCAAAAACAAAAGAAGTTTTATACTTTTTATTAAATAACTCATTTAGTTGTAAAAGGCATTTTTGGTAGGATTACATTAAACAGATACTAGACAAAAATCTACAAACAGAGTAAAGCCAGAAAGACAAAGAAGTAAAAGAATAAAAAATAACTCACTAGACAATGCTCAAAAGTAAAGTTATGGTGATGTAAAATAAAACTAAGCTGCGTGATAAAGATCACTAGAAATACCACTAAATGTGACTAGGAAGCTCAAACTTAACATTTCAAGGAGGCAGAAAAGCAAAATATGTAAGTACACTTAAATAAAAGTAATGTAAATAACTTAATAAAAGAACGAAATGATTAACTGCAAAATCTGTTTGAAAGGGGAACAAGCCTACACCTCTGAGGTTGTTGTGAGTGCTGAAATGCCCTCTCTCAGCATAATATTATAATAACAAAGCTGAGAAGGTGATCAGTCTGATATTTGGAAACTGCTCAGCAACAGCTGTAGTGATAGGAAAAAGCTTACTAACGTAAATGGGAGGCCAGAATGCATACATGTATGCATATAATATACATGTATAGATGTATGTGCTTATGTGTAAAGAGATATTTTTGTTAATAGTCCATCAATTTAAAACCCAGATAACTTGTGTGATTCTTTTTGTTCTTATATTTCTATTAGAAGAGACTATATGAGAAACAAGCTTCAAAAATTAGGGCAATTTTTCAAAATTAACATTTTATGAACCAACTAAATTACTGAATTACAAAGGCACTTACTGAAATAAGTTTATAAACATATCCACATCCCTCATATCTGCTTGTAACCAATCCTTCTTAAATCCAAGGACAAGTGTGTTTGGTTTCATACGACCAAGACCAGCAGCCTAAAAGATAGGATAAATATAACTTTAAAGGTAAACTAATTCAAAAAAATGTTTTTTAATGTGATAAAATTGTCCTCCAAATTGACAGCTTCTAAACATTATATATTCTTATTGGCAAAAATTCTTTGGCCTTCAATACATATTTACTTATGAATTACATATACTGCATTGATCATGTTACTTATGATTAAACATATACAAAAATAGATGTTAAAAATGAAACACCTGAAAAGTTCTAAGTGTACATTTTTGTGCTTTTATGATCTACCACAATTTTCATATTTTTACTAAAAGAAATAGAATATATTTAATCTATAACAATAAGGGGCATTCTCAGTTTAATGATAACAGTCATTAAAATTTAGAAGCAAAAGTTCAAATGGTTGCAATTCTAAATCACATCAATACTAAATTCTGAATTCTTTCTACCAATCTTGCAAAAGTGCTGAAATTTGGCTAGTTAATTTCCTTCTTCTCCCATCAATTAATTTTTCTGGCAACTTCATCAGAATTTGCAATTCAATATGCTTAACAAATATAGTCTTCCCTCAACATCTGTGGAGGATTGGTTCCAAGATCCCCCCAAACTACCTGGTATACCAAAATTTGTGAATTCTCAAATCTCTTATATAAAATGGTATAGTATTTGCATATAGCCTATACATATCCTCCCTTATACTTTAAATCATCTCTAGATTACTTACAATACCTAATACGATGTAAATGGCATGCAAGTAGTTATGTTGTATTTAAAATTTGTATTATTCTTTACTGTTATAGCGTTATTTTTATTTTTTTCGAGTTGGAGTCTCACTCTGTCGCCCAGACTGGAGGGCAGTGGCCGCAGCCTCGATCTGCCGGGCTCTGGTGATCCTTCCGCCTCAGCCTTCCAAGTAGCTGGAACTACAGGTGCACGCTACCATACCCGGCTAGTGTTATTTTTATTTTTAAAAATAATTTCAATCCATGGTTGGTTGAACCCACAGATGTAGAATCCGCAGATATACAGAGTCAATGGTATGCCCAAAAGTCCAGTGAATCTCTCCTTTTATAATACACTACCTGGAAAACACTATTTTCAAGATTGTGTATATGTATACGTTTTCATTAGTTTTTTTTATTGTGGTAAAAGATAAATGAAAAATTTTGACATTTAAAACATTTTTAAGTGTACAATTCAGTGGCATTAATTATATTCACAATGTTGTATAACCAACACCACTACCTACTTTTAAACATTTTTCATCACCCCAAAGAGAAATTCTATAACCATGAATAACTACTCACTCTTTTTTCCTCCAGACCCTGGTAATATGCAGCCTACTTCTGTTTCAGACTATAAATTTGTATATCCTAGATACTTTATGTAAAGGTAATCACAATATTTATCCTTTGTATCTGGTTTATTTCACTTAGCATAATATCTTCAAAGTTAATCCATGTTGTGGCAGAACTTAATTACTTTTTATGGTGAAACAATATTTCTTTTTATATATATTCATCACATTTTATTTATCCATTCATCTATTGACAGACACTTGAGTTGTTTTTACCTTTTGGCCACTGTGAATAATGCAACAATGAATGTTTTTTATCTGTCCCTTTTGCTGTTTATGCTTTTGGTGTCATATCTAAGAATCCATTGCCAACTCCAAGGTCCTGAAGACTGAACTCTACATTTTCTTCTGAGAATTTTATTATTTTAGCTCTCATATTTATGTCAATAATCCATTTTGAGTTAATTTTTGCATGTGGTATGAAGTCACATAAAATTTTACGATACACTTAAATAATTTTTTGCAAAAAATTAAGTTAATTCAAATATTAATTAGTGCTGACCATATGCCACTGCCACTTGGGATAATTAGGGAGAAGAAATATCCTTACACCCTGTAAAGCTTATATTAATTTTGAAAATGTTATATCGGTGTACAAACTTCTTTCAAGAAATATATTTTTCCCCCACTCAATATTAAAAACGTCTTTGCCTTGAAAGGGCAGGTAAAAACATTCATTTTTGTTTTTTTAAACCTAACTGATAGGTAGCCATTAACCACAAAGCATATTTTTAATTTGGGGGTGGAAAGAATGGGAATTAAAAGAAAGCCAAGAAATATCTTTAGGTTTGATATCTTTTTAAAGAAGCCACAAGATAATCAATCAGTAACTTCTTGATGGTACAAAACACTGTCAGGGTCATTTTCCTTTCTCAAATCTGTTACAATCCTATTATAATTAAAAGGTTTTATTTTTATAAAATTAACAATAATATCCTGTGATAACCTGTGCTCTAGTGCTTTCAACTTTGTTACTGCAGTAACTTTTCCTTGAATGACTAAAGTAAAGAAAATTCACAGGTATCACTCTCATCCCTAACTCTTTTGTACATTCTAATCAAAGTAGTCATTCAGAGGTAATGTTATTAGTTCCCACAAAATATTAGTTTATTAAGGAAGTAATATATTACTAAAAATATATTTTCTCTGAAACATATTTCTTTAGTGGTTGACAGAAAATCAATTTGAATTTTGTATTCCATATTGAAACCAATTTAGCAAAATGCAATCATTTGAAGCTTATAATAAACATGATTCATTTTAATCAAACATTCCCACTTTGCTATTTCTTCCAATCTTTAGTAACATTTTATGTGTATCATAAACCAAACAAGTGCATTTCTGGCTTATCATAATTTTCAGTATATTATTACAGTCATTTTTGCTGCAATAAGAAGAATAACTGTTTTTCCCAATGATATGTGACTTCGTATTTTTATCTTTCACTACTAAGTAAAAACATTTCCAAACATTACTTAACTTAAAATTAGTTAAGTACTGGCATAAGATTGGTACTACTTTAAAAGTCACTTAAAAAAGTAGTGATTCAGCTGCATGTCTCATGGCACAATATACATTTAGATGGAGGTTATAGAATATGAATACACATTTATATTTTAAATATTTTTATTAGCAATTTTAAATTCATTTGGTCTACTTATTTTACAACAATGTTTTCTTTCTTTTCTTTTTCCCACCCTCCTCCCACAACAATTAAAAAAAATCACTGTTCACTTCAACATGTGACTAATGAAGAAAAGAAAAAATGTCAGGAACATTCAGCAGGATAATTGCAGATTATTTTTCTCCAGGAAAAAAGGTGCAGTTATGTCTACACTGAGATCTTAAATGCGATTCACTTGGTTTAAAGGGCCATCCTGAAGTAATTTGAAATTTTTGGCAAAAACACTATGATTCTGCTATAAAATGAAGGTTTAAAATCGAGTTTAGAATCAGGTAGCTACTGCCTTTAAAAAAATAGGAAAAGGAAAATAAAAAATAAAGAAATCAGCAGTGCTAATGTCTCTTGCTTAAAGGGCTCTTAAAGCAAGCTATTTATTGATATATTTATTTATAAGATTGCCTCTTTTTAAAATAATGAATCTTAAGTTTTGTTGTGGAGGGTGGGTACATAAAATGCTGGTTTAATATTAAGTGCTTATGATTATAATCAGTAACTAGAGTAACTAGACGATGAGGAGACAAAAAATTTAAGAGTGCAAGGTCTAGTAAAACAAATAATACCATCTAAAAACAGCATCTCTGTTTTTAGATGTGGAAATAAATTAATGTAAAGTCTCCTATGTATGAAGCTTCAACTTTGAACCTTCAAAGATGTGAATGTACATTTGCAAGTCCATTCGCAAAAGTTAGGTCATATGTCTGGTGTAAATTGTCGCATGTGTGCGTCCTCTACAAGTGTTTGTGCTTTTATGTAAGAGTAGAGACCAAATACAAAACCAAAAAAACCTCAGAATCTATTTATTACAAAAATCATGTACTTATTCTTACATGTTTAAACTTTAGTCACCTTCAAAGCACCCTGTTCGATGCAATATACCTATTGAGATGCTTTTTCCACCATTCAAAAGAGTTTTTTGAACTCATCAATTTTGATGCCTTTTAGTGCTTCTGCCATTTTTTGTTTCACTTCCTCCACATCAGCAAAATGTTTCCCTTTGAGGACTTTTTTCATCCAAGAAACAAAAAGAAGTTGTGTAAGTTGAGACTGAGTGGGGTAACGGGGTTATGCCAGTTAGGGTCAAAAACTGCTGAACGCTCAGCATGGTGTGGGCAGATGTACTCAAAAATCATCCATCATGAAATGAGCAAATATGTTGAAACAACCCCCCCTCCCAAAAAAATTAACCGAAGCCAAACGCAGCCTTTTACACAACAATGCTAGCTGGTACACTGATGCTGATAAGTTCCTAGAACACTAACCTAGGGGGGATACCTGTTCAACAAGGGCCCACCTTCCAAAAGATAATTCCAGGGTTTTTTTGGGTCCCCCCTCATACTTTACTATACAGGAGTATGGTAGTACAGTAACTTTATTTCAATTCCAGGATATCCAGAAGCAAATGTAAAAGCAATGGTGACATAGCTGGTACTGCATAGCCAATTGTGCTAGTTGGGTACCTAGGCTAACTTGGTTGGAATTATGAACAAATTGGACTTAGGAATACAATCTCAGAACCAAACTTGTTTGTATGTAGGGGACTTACTGTACATAATTCTTCTGACGAAGATTACAACTAAAAGACATTTGTCACTTTATGTTTATCTAACAGGCCTCTAAAAGATATAAAGGAAAGAGAAACTCTGACAACTTACACTAAAACTTCAGTTATTAGTTTCACAGAGGCAACTGGCACCTATTTGTAATATTTCATACAGTTCCTCAGTTCTGCTAGAAAGTCAACCTCCCAGGCATCTTCATAAAGTGGCTACATTTGCCAGGATTATAGAACAATCTCAAAGCAAAGCTGTTCTATTATCCCAACCTTGCTCCACACTGATAAAGTTGTCATGACCCACTGGGGTGAGTACGTTAGGCAGATGAGAGTAATTAGGAGGATGGATTCTAACTCTCACCAAATTTATAATAAAGTCATCTACTACAGAAACCCTCTAGGGAATGGTTCTCAAAGTGTTGTCCCTGGACTGGACCAACAACATCACCTGGAATCCTGTTAGAAATGCTAATTCTGGGGCCTTACCCGAAACCTACTGACTCATTCTGAGAGGCCTAGTAATCTGTGTTTTAACAAGTCTACCAGGTTATTCTGCTGCAAGACAAAGTTTAAGAGCCACTGCTCTATGGAAGAGATTTCCTTTCTTTCTGTTCTAAAATTTATTATAAAATGGTTATCAAAATATTCCTCTAAGTTGTACAAAAGTAAACAAGAATTACCCACCAGAAACAACCTTATGAGCAAGGGTAGCATTCTACCAGAACTATTTAACCTGGTACTTATCAAACTCTATGAAGCACAATAGAAAGGGCTCATACTGAGCTCTCTCCTCTACTTTAACAAAATAGCTCCACAATTACACAGTCAACACAAAACAGCAAAAAAATTTCTATGGTCTTTTTAGTTCTAAAGTATACAATTCTCAGTAGTTTAATAAAGATATTAAAGATTGACCATTTGTATTACTATGAAGAATAAAATTTAGCATGAAAAAGTTATTAAAACTAAAATGTAAGCATTTGAAAGGCCTAAAAAATTTACCTGCATCAAATACTGTGCACCTTCTCTTAAGTCATCTGCATGTACTGGAGCATAAAATGCCTTCATTTTGTTTTTAATAAGCCATCGCTGATATTTGGCTTGATCAATGGACATCTCTTTCATAGCCTGTCTTCGAGGGCCCTTTAAATAAAAATATTGGCAATATCTTTAATTAAAAGGTAATCTATTTCACATTTATAAAAACCATTATACTGGTTTGAAACAGGTGACTAAATGTGGAGGTGGAAGAAGTATAATAATAGCATTTCATAGTCTTTCTAATACATAAAATGGCAAAAAGATACACTTAATATAATAGTTAAGGCACAAGGTGCCAGTACAAGGAAGAAAAGAAGTTAAAGAAACAGATTTAATGATGATAAATTAAAAGTTTCAATCAAAAGTAAGTGAGATAAGTCAGAAGCTGTTGAAAATGGAGAAGAGACCGCACAAAGGAAAATAACAGGCTTTTATTTTTCTATAGAAAGTTTCCCGGTTTTTTCTTTCTCCAAGCCTTGACTACGCCACTGTATAAGTAGAACAGCAACTTTAGCAGGGGATGGGACATGGGGCATACAACACACATACCCAGCACCAAAACAAGATGAAGAACAGAGCTTGGGAGAAAAGCCAATCTGACAAATACTCCAGAACAGGTAAGTCATTATCCAATTTGTTCTTAGTAGCCATGATGTCAAAAACCAAAACACTATTTTTGGATACAAGTCTGCCAATATTTTTAATAATTTTATTACTCCTAGTTACAACAAAAATGAACAATCAAAAGTATCTGAACTTAGAAATTCAGCATTTATTTTGTTCTTCTTACATACTAGAGATATTACTTCCCATTCAAGTTATTTATCATGATTTGCCAATTTCCTCCAACACCTATTCTTTTTCAAAGTAAATATTCCCAAGTGTTCTTAATACTTTATGAAATATCTAATAAGAAAAATAACACACTAAATTTCATTTTGACTCTACAGTTATCAAAAAGCTATTTTTTCTTGGTTAAACTGTTCTAGAACCATATAGTTTACTAAAATTTACTAATAATGAATAAGAACTCAAAATATTTTTTAAACTGCTACATTGAGACCACTTAGAAGCCAAAATATTTTGAAGAAAACAACTATCCTAAAAAAAGAAAAAACCAAGAGATTTGTCAAACTATTTCCAATCCACAAAGCCTCACAAATTACAAATTATACAGAGTGAGACATTTTTAAATTTAGAAAACAAAATTGATACGTACCATATGTACATGACCACAGATCATCAGACCAACATTTTTTGTGAAATCATGAACAAGATGAAGTAAAGCTGGGCGTGAATTTGGAGCACCTGTCATAACAAGACACTGTGGCCTAATTTAAGATAAAAAGATAAAAAAAATTAGGGAAGTTTGTGTTTGTGGCAACAAGAACATGATTTTAAACTGCTTCTATAAGAAACCTTCTGTTTACAACTGTCCTTAAAACATAGGCCACAGGTTTCTCAAAAAGATGACTTTTAACCAGGCCTTACTGGTACATGATAAATGCAGAACAAAACTTGGGACAAACATCATGCCAAATGTTCCTCTAAAATAATAGGTAATATTATACATCAAGATTCTGCCAGGCATTATAGCAAGAAATTGCCATGCTAGTTAAATGATATGTAACAACTTTTCATCTTCTTTTTTTTTTTTTGAGTTGGAGTCTCACTGTCGCCCAGACTGGAGTGCAGTGGCCGCTCCCAGCCACCGCAGCCTCGACCTGCTGGGCTCCGGCGATCCTTCCGCCTCAGCCTTCCAAGTAGCTGGAACTACAGGTGCACACTACCACGCCCGGCTGATTTTTTTTGATTTATTGTAGAGATGAGGTCTAAAGATAACAATATTCCAGTTGTTTTACGGAGCTTGCCAAACTTCCTACAAAGTTTCCATCTTAGCTTGATCACATCATTATTACTTGTACTTAATGGTATGAGCTCTCTCTAATCTAGTTTAACTTTAATGACTATTGTCACATGAGTAAAATCACCTATGGTGAAGAAAAGATTTGTATTTGAACTAGAAGTTTTAATTCTAGTTAATGATAATGAAAACCAAAACTCAACTCAATTGCCTTTATAAACATGAGACACAGACATGACTTTCATATATTCATAACATAATTTTCACTGATTAGAAATGGAAATCAATCATATCCATTTTACAGGTATCTATTTTATAGGTCAAAAAATTATTTAAAACAAGAATTTATATAATCAAGACAAACTTTAACAGAAAAGCAAATAGTAGACTAAAATTGCTGACAAACATTAACTTCAGAGGAGTTCCTAAAAATAAGTATGAAAACCTGAATAAAGACTTTGAAAAAATACTAACTTATTTAGAATTTTAGCAAACTAGCTGAAAAACTAATTCTATTTGGGAGAGTTGCATTGAAGCAATAAAACACCAAACCCAGACCGCTAATTGTCTTCCTTTCTGAGTTTCAGCAAGTTACACAAATCCCTAGCCAGAGATCTACTTCCTAGCTTTCCTAGGAGCTAAATGTGGCTTTATAACTAACTTATAAACCCATAACATGTTCCTATCTCTTGGTCAAGTCCTTTACACTTGATAATAATTTTGGCTCTCCTTCTACCCTTTCTTTCCTCTTTCCTGTAAGCTGGGCCATGGATGTGGTAATGACTTTGACTACATGTAAAAAACACCTCCTAGGGAATGGCCAACTGACAAGATATAAATAATGTGTGCCCTAGGCCAGATGTAATAGCTTGCACCTGTAAACACAGCAGTTTGGGTGGCCAAGGTGGAACAACTGCTTGAGTCCAGGAGTTCAAGACCAGCCTGGGCAACACAGCAAGACCCCATCTCTACAAAAAATTTTTTAAAAGCCCTGCATGGTGGAACATATCTGTAGTCCCAGCTACTCAGGAGGCTGAGGTAGAAAGATCACCTGAGCCAAGGAAGTTGAGGCTGTGATGAGCCATGATTATAAGTAAGACTACAACTCCAAAAAAAAAAAAAGACAAAGAAGACCAAAAAATAAATGTGGGGCCTGAATAACCAAGTTCAGCAAATCTGCCTACCAGTCATGAACCATTCATCTATTTCCAGACTATCACACGATACCAATGTCTCTCATGTTTAAGCCATTGTATTTTTCAGTCTTTTTGTTATGGTAGTTTAACCTATGCCCCAACTAGTATAACCTATTATTGTGAGAAACTAACTTGTAGTCCCTACCTTTACTAAATAGTAAACTACAAAGGTCTAATTTGGTAGTTTTATCATACCAAAATAGTGCAGTGCAAAATCTACTAGGGATGACTTCAATTGACAATAGAAGAATGAATATCTGTCTTGATTTTAACTCTTCCCTAAAAAATACCCACAGTATAAAGAGATTTTTCTTAAAAGGCATAAATCACAAAAATATAGAGAACAGGACAGGACATGATAGCACTAAAATATTGGAAGCTGGAAAGCAAATAGAAGAACAGTAAAGGATGTGACAAATCAGGAAAAAGCTAAAGGAGTATGAGAAAACTGTGAAGCTACCTTACTTAATATCTCAAAATCCCCCAAATGCCTAGAAGTTAGGAGCAGAAGATTCCTCCGGAAGTGGCAGGGACAGTGTGTTAATGAAACTAAAAAAAAGACGCCTGGTTTAAAGTTTACATAAGAAGCAACAAGACAGACACAAATCATTTCCATCACTATGATAGGCAACTGTCCCTGTTCCTTCCCAATACCATTAAGCTGGAGCTTATTTGCTATAAAGGGTCTCTGGTCAGAGAGACACCTGCAACAGCTGGGGGCAGAAATATGCTACCTCAAATAGGAGAGTTAGGAGAACATATATATTGAACCCTGAAACCTTCAAGTTCTTTACCCACTTGGCTCCCAGAACTCTGGTAGCAAAAACTTTTCTGGGAAATCTAATCAGATAAAAAAAGAAAGCCTTTAAGACAACTTACATTCCTCAAAGAACTATCAAAGTCACATTAATGTACATTAGGAACTTAATTGAGCAAGCCCCACTCACCAATGCAGAGATTCCCTGCCAAGGATTATATTCACCACTTCAGACAAAGCTAAATGCAAGAAACCAAATTAAGGAAACAGGAAAGAGTGGGAAAAAAACTTCAAGGAAACAGAAACTACAAGTGAAGAAAACAAAATCTTCTGGCAAGCTTGGTGAAGATTAAGATAGTGATAAAGTTACATAAGAAAAAAAATAGTATCAGTTCCAGGGAAAACAAAAAAGCTGTGAAGCAAAGAAAAAATAATAATTTACTATATGGCTCAACTGTGTAGCATGGTTAAAAAGTAAAAAAAATATTAAATATGATCTAATCAAAATCATGATATAAAAATATAATGGGAGAATGGGGTAAAGGGAAGAATACATGTATGTGGTAGACACAAGTAGATGAAATAAATCAGTAGATAATGCCTAAAATTAAAAATTAAAAAGTACAATAGTCCCTCCTTATCTGTGGTTTTACCTTCCATAGTTTCAGTAAATATAAAATTCCAAAATAAATAACACACATATTTTAATTTGTGAGTCATTCTGAGTAGTGTGATGAAATTTCTCAGCATCTAGCTCCATGCAGCCTGGAACATGATTCCTCCCTTCATCCAGCGTCTCCACACTATAGATGCTATCCATCCCAGATGGACTGTTGCATACTGCAGTGCTTGTACTCAAGTAACCCTGATTTGACTTCATAATGGCCTCCAAGAACAAGAATAGAGATGCTGGCAATTCAGATACACAAAAGAGAAACCGTTAAATGCTTCCTTTATGTTTTTGAAAAGGTAAAAGTTCTCAACTCTAAGGTTTGCATGGAAAGAACAAATCTTCCATCTGTTAAATTGTGAGGAAAGAAAAAGAAATTCATGCTAGTTTTGCTGTGGCACCTCAAACTACCACACAGCCACAATGTGTGATAAGTGCTTAGCTAAGATGGAAAAGGTAATAAGTTTGTGGGCAAAAGACACAAAAAGAAACATGTTCTGATTGATGACAATCAGGTTCAGAAGTATCTGCAGTTTCAGGCATTCGCTGAGGGTCTTAGAACATATTGCCTGAGGATAAATGGGCACTACTGTGTGGAAGGACGAGCAAGGTATTCATGAAGTAAAACTAAAAAAAAAAAAAAAAAAAAGTCAGCTAAAAGTTGAAAGTGGTTACCTGTGGTGTAAGAGGAACAGGGATAACAAGGGGTGGGCAACTGCTGATTTTCATGACAAACCTTGCAGACTATTTTCCTCTTTAAACTATATTCATGTGAAATTCTGATAAAAATTAAAAAGTCAAATTGGGATACATTTTTTAAAATGTTCCCATTACTATAAGCCAAAGCAACAGGTTTTTATTGATGGTTATACCCTCAGTTTTGGGATACAACTTTTTACATAAAAGAATGACTTTATTTTTCTGTCATATGTGGTATCAGTTATCCAAAATATGCTAAAATTAAAACTTTTCCTCTTAGGGCTTTCATTCCTTTTTCTTTTCTCCATTTCTGCTTACCCCAAAATTAAGATCTGTGGTCTCTGGAAAGTTTTTATTCTAGAAAAAAGGAAAGGGGGATGGAGGAGGATCTATAAAAGTAATAAAATACACAAAGTCTTCTCTTACTGGGAGAGAAATCTGGCAGGACAATTATTTTCTGGCACTTATCCACTCTTCAGGGTTTTTTTTTAAATTTTTTTTATTTTTTTTTAGGATGTGGGGTACAATTCAGGATTAGATATACAAATGGTTACTGTACATATAAAGTTTGGGGCTCACTTTGGCAAGGTTTCTTTAAAAAGCATTATCCTTTGGCTTATTCACAAACATGAAAAAGATTTGTGTTTATTATGCAGAAGCCAATGAGGGGTGATTACTTATGACTAGAGTTTATATTGATGACTGATAAACTATTATAAAGACAAAATATTCTTTAAGTCACTTATTTAGAAAAATAACAAAAGTTCTTTTTAAGAAGGCAGTGTTTCCTTATAATTATGCATTGTTTGCAGCTAGTCACTGACAAGAAAGAAGCAACTAACATGAAAATATTTAGTCTTAGTAAAATTGCAAAATGAAGTATGTCAAAAATCTTTATGAATTTCATATTGTGTAGTTATATAGTAGTTATATAATTTTAATGGCCATGGTGGGAAAAAACTTTCACTTCATGATGCCTAACATTTAAAAGTCTTCAAATGAGAGACCTCCAAATCTTTCATAATATTTTGTAAGGTAGATGACAATTTTTTTTTGTACAATTTTTCAAAATTAAATTTCCCAAGTCCAACAAAAACAAAACAAAACAAATTCTATGCTTTTAGAGAACTTGTAATAAAATATCAGTATATGAAAATGTACTGAACAATAATTTAAGAATTGATTGGCCAGCTAAGAGAAAATGTTTCCATGTTACCTTTTTTATCACTTACCTAAAGTTTTTCACGTGGTCTTCCACTCCAGAAAGACGAATCGAATGCTGCAGCGCACTCAGGTAAGTCAAGGCTTGTGTTGAGGATCCCCAGTTTACATCTGTGGGAAGACAGTGTTTATGCAGCATAACACCAATAACAGCAACCAATTAAAAAAATTAAAAACCAATTTAAGACACGAAGAGAATTAAAACATGCTTCCATATTTTAAATGTCAATTGCTAAAATGAATATTACACATAACTTTCAAGTACATATATGACATTATAAATAATAATTTATAATTATACAATTCACTTTATTCCTATGACTTTTATTCTTATCCATATGTTACATTTAATTAATCCTGTTTTCCAAAAACAGTATTAACTGCATATAAATTATATATAATTCACTTAAAGTAAAAGTAAAATTTAGAAAAGACTGAGATGACAGGGCTGCAGACATGCTATATATACAACTCAAAAGAATCTTTCACAAATAAATATTTTTAAATTGTATAGTCAAAGACCTAAAAGGAAAGAAATAGATCTCCAATTGTTAAGAAGTATTAATTATAGTACTTATCTGTTTAGGTTACTTGAACAGGAAAATTTTATTCTCGAATAAACAACTTAGACAACAAATGATGATTTCATATATTTTTAAGTTTATAGACTTAATTGGTATGTTATAGAAATAACTGCTTCTAAAATGGTTTGTTCATTTCATTTCTAGAGTCACCACTAATCCAAAACTTCATCATTTCATATTTGAATTACAAAATGTTTCCTTACTGCTTAAAACTACTATATTGTAACTACTCTTATATTCTCTTCCTAATCTATTATATTGGGCTGAAACTTCCCAATCCTTTCTTGTCAGGTTTTTCTTCTGTGTTGCAGGTTATAATACTGAATACTGGATCAATCCTAATATAACCTAGCATCATCATCTTATGTGCAGATATACCTAGCTGTTTTCAGTATAACATACTAGATAGTTATTATTTCCCAGTTAAAACATATCTGTCCAATTTTCCCTGCTACACAGTAACAGTAACCTAATGGGGTCTAATTTTCTCTGTCACATAGCAACCTAATGGGAAAGAAACAGTCTTCCAATACTTTGTGAACCCCATTTCTACTTAACTACAGTTCTAAGACTATAGTAGGTTTTATATATGCTTACATAGACTACAGAGTATTTATATGCTTATTAGACTATGCTTACAATAGACTTTGAATCCTCTCAAACAATTGCAAGATATACTGAGTGCAAAAATGTTAATAATATTAATCTATTATTTTCCACAAACAGGACTAATTAAATGTAACGTACAGATAAGAATAAAAGTCATAGGAATAAAGTCTTGAAGTAAGTATTTCATTAAAAGTACATGTATTTGAAAAACAAGAACATAAAACTCATGTATATGGAAATAAAGTAGTTCCGTTTTTACACAAAATAGTTTTCCATATATGAAACATGATGCTTTAATATGAAAAGTAATAAAAAAATTCTAGACTTTTTTTCTAGTCTGAAATACTAAACAAAAAAGGCCACTCACCTGGTTTTTTGTAGGTAACATAAATATATAGCCCAAGGACTATTACGTATGTCAGCAATGCAGCCCACCAGTTAATGACAAACATCACTAAGCAACAAAGAATTGCTCCGATAAGTGATATCCACATGTTGTAGTATTTGAAAGCAGGACGCCATCCTAACAATAACAGATAAATAAAAGTCATTCAAATACCTTATCTGCTTTGTACAATGGTACATATGTATTCATAAAATAACATTCTTTAAGGATGTCATACTGAAAAGACTTTAAGCATTAAATGTAATGGTAATACCTAAAAGTAAAGTCAGAGACTGTTATTGATCACAATTGAATTTGATGATTCTGGATGGCTATGAATAGGGCACATCTATCTACTTTCATATTACTGTATCTTAAGAGTTCTGTATTCAATAGACTCTTTACAGAAAAAAGTAAATCAACTTACTCTAGTGAATGCTAAAAATTAGAGAAGGCTTCAAAGATAAAAAAGGTTTTAAACTGAGTCCTTAGTATGGCTTTATTTTCCAGCTTTGGCATGAAACATATCCATATTCTAATAAACATGTAAAATATTTCAAACAAAATATTCATAAAAATCACTAAAAATTCATCAATTTTCCAGAAACACTAAGAGTTGACTACAGAAACACTTTCTCATTTAGTAAAGAAAAAATTAAGCCCACGTTGAAAAATTTTGGAAGATGTTTTAAATTTTCATTGAGAGGTAGTTGCAAAATCAAATATATTTTTTAAATTGCTTCAGAAAATGTATATATTTAAAGCAAACACTGAAGCTAAAATGTTTGCATCTTAAGTCCCCATGTTTTACTTTCCTGTTCTTAGACACTTATAGATCCTTAGAAGAAACAATACTTTTGTTCCTTCCCTGATTTCCAACTATGGTCACAGTTTGTAACAAAAGTCCCATATACTTTTTCAGTTTATAGATACTTCTTATGTTAAAATTCTACAGAACTCATTGTGTTAAAAAAAATTTTTATACAGGTAAACAATATCATAACAATGTTCTTAGAACTAAAATAGAAATCAGCCAAACACACAGTGAAAACCAGTTTTTTTAAAAAAACCAGTAAAATAATTATTTCATAGTGTTAGTCAGACTTAGAGATAAATGCTATCTTAAATGCTATGAAGACAAGAAACAATATTAGCAGCAAACTTCATGATAAAGAAATCTTTGAAGATTTAACTTAACTGTAAAGGCAGGATTAGCATTAATGAGCTAATCCCACACACACTATCTTTTAAAATGTGTCAGTTTTATTTTCTCTGAAATAAAATACAATACATTTACGAGACTTTTAAAAAATGTAAAATCACCTGGAGATTTTGCAAGTGATGCATGGAATACTGAAAAATTGATCAATGCATATGATGCGAGGAAGAAGTTAGAGATAATTGGAGCAATAACATTCAGTTCAGCTGCAAAATAAATGTGAAGTAGATTTGTTGATGTATTAAACATTTTTTAACCTTTTAAAATTATAAAATATTTCAAAACTTTAGATAATAGCACAATAAACACTCCTATGCCCACCATCTAGATTTAATATGTATTTAACCTTTTGCGATATATGCTTCATATAGTTTTCTTTTCAGAAACCAAACTCCACATACATCACTGAAATTCCCTTTGTATTTATATCTCACTAGTCCAAACTTGGTATATTCTGTGTAATTATATTATATAGTTTTACTACACAAATAAAGTCTATATGCATTATACAGTATATTTTGGGTATTCTAAAAGTCACATAAATAATATCATATGTATTATTATGAAATTTGATCTTTCATTTGATGTATTTGAAATTCATCCATATTGATATGCAAAAAGCAAGTTTATTCTTCTTTTTTTTTTTTTACTGCTATTGGTTGATTGATTGATTGATTGACTGAGTCGGGGTTTTACTCTGCTGCCCAAGCTGGAGTGCCATGGTACAATCAGGCTCACCATGGCCTCAACTGCCTGGGTTCAGGCTAGCCTTCCACCTCAGTCTCCCAGGTAACTGGGACTACAGGTGTGCACATCTGGTTAATTTTTAATTTTTATTTTTTTGTTGTCCAGGGTGGTCTTAAACTCCTGGGTTCAAGTAATCCTCTGATCTTGGTCTCCCAAAGTGCTGGGATCAAAGGCATAAGCCACCGCACACCTGGCCACTGCTGCACATTATTCTGAAGTTTTATTCTATTGATTTAGGTTGCTTCTACTTTTTGCTACTATAATTAATGACACTACTCTCTTGTATATGAGTTTCCCTAAGGTATTATACCTAGAAAGAGATTGCTGGATCATAGGAAACTTTACAAGATTGTACTGCCAACTTATTCTCTGAAAATAGCCTCACTAAATATACATCTTTCAGCATCATACAAGAGTTAACATAGCCCCATGTCAACTAATCTCAGGGATTAGACAAAATTCTTTAGAACTTAGAAGTCCAATATCTTATTTATTTATTACATTAGAACTCACTGATCAAAGGCAAAAGTGCCCAAAAATAGGTCAGTGAAGGTACTACCTTCTTGGAGGAAACTGGAACCTTTTTTCCTATGCCATTATCATATTTGTTTTAGAGACAACAACCTAGGAGTTCCCTTTAGCCTAATAGGTCCCTTTAGATCTAATGGGAACTTAGTGATGGTAATAATTTTAGCAAACATGTATTGAGTGTTATTATTTACAGTACTCTGTAAACATTCTTTCATGTGATTAGAAACTTAGTATTCCAAGGAAAATAACATTTTGTTAATAACTTAATAAGTCAATATTTAGAGCTAATACTATATAGACACCAAAATCTGCATTACCACATCACTTATATAACTAACCAATTAAGATGAATCCAAGTGCAATTAAGAAGGTTAAGATATAGCCACGAAGAGGTTCATTATTCTTCCCATAACCTTTAGCAAACATCTGAAAAGCTGGGTAGATGTTGTCCTTACATAAAGCCTAATGAAAAAGTGAAAACATTAAAATTAGACATACAGATTTGTTTACACCTAAAATAGGTTAATCAGAAATGGAACCCAAGTTTCTAATTCTTGGTCCACTTTTACTTTTCTGTCTCATACCACTTCACCAACAAACTGTAAAGGGGGTTGTTCAAATGTTTCAAACATCAGAAGCATAGCACATTTTAAATATTGCTCTTTCCTACGACCTAGCTATTCCATTTACCACACTGTCATTTTAGTCTTCCCATAAAGCTTTTTTAACCTTAAAAAAAATTGCTAAAGTTTTTATCTGCCTTACTATACCCCTATGCTGAAATTCTTTTATTTATGAAGAAATTAGAGAAGCATATGAATTTTTAAAAGTTGAATGCTTGATAAATATGATTTTTGGTGTGACCTTCTTTAAGAAAGCCACCAAGACCAAATCTTAAAGGAGATAACAATCCTAAGTCTTCATTGCTTTTCTTAGACTATTACTTAACATTGTTTTAAGAAATATATTCTACACCTTTACTGTATTCACGGCTATACATACAACATTAAGAATAAGACTGCAGAACCCACATTTCATTTGTTTGATTTAGTAATAACAGTATTTTCTATCAGTATCAGTTATTTGTTTAATGCTCATTATAGGGAGATATGACTATCCTATTCATCATTACACCCTTAGTCATGAACATAATATGTGGCATTTATTAGGCATTCAAATATTTTCAAAAATAAAATATTTAGAATAATATCATGATGACTGAGACAAAGATACATTACTACTTTTGATTGCACTCCTAGTCCTTGATAAGACATCTTAAAAATTTATGCTAAGTATGTCAAAAAGCATTACTTCTAAAAAGACAACTCAAAGACCACAACTTGACAGCAGGTAAATCCACAAATGTTTACATAAACATACATATTCGCATTCATGCACATAGAATTAAATATATCTGTCTTAATATATGTGTAAATGTATATACCCATGTACATATATGGGGTTGGTAGAGCAAATAATTTGAAAACAGCAGCAACCACAAATTGAAAAATACTACCTTAACTCTACCCTTAATAAAGGCTGTAATATAAAAACACTTACCTGAAAAATTTTCGGAGCACTCACAAGGGATGCTAATGCTGAAGAAAGCGTGGCTGAAAAGATACCTGCAGAAATTAATGGTGCAAATCCTGACACCATGCTCATTACCTTAAATAAAAGGGACAAAAATGGAAAACTGTGTTACAAATTTAATATTACACGCAAGAACTTCTGAAAACTATAGTTATAATGCCAACATCACAGCTTAAAACATTTAGTAACTGTAAAAAAACAAAACAAAACAAAAAAACAAAATAGAAAGAAAACTCAGAAAGAAAAAACAAAGTCTACAAGGAATAGACAATTATATTAAGATGCCGAACCTATGGCTGATTGGTATCACAGAAGAAGAAAGAAAAATGGAGAACAACTTGGAGCATGTATTCCAGGACGTAATCTAAGAAACCTTTCCCCATCTCACCAGAGATATGACCAGTCAAGTACAAGAGATACAGAGAACCCCCACAAGACACCAAATGAGAAGACCAACCCCTAGACACTTGGTAATTGCCTACACAAAGTAGACATAAAAGAAAAAAATCCTAAAGGCAGCAAGAGAGAAAGGTCAGACTACCTACCGGGGAAAACCAATCAGAACAGCAGCAGACCTATCGGCAGAAACACTACAAGCAAGAAGGGACTGGAGCCGTATAATCAAAGTACTCACAATAAACAATTTGAACCAGGAATTTCCTACCTAGCCAAGCTCAGCTTCATCAGTGATGGAGAATTAAAATCCTTCCCAGACATACAATCCCTAAGAGATCATGCAGCTTCCAGAGCAGCTCTACTGGAGACACTTACAAAGCACAGAAGAGAAAAAAGAATGACCACACACTTCCCAAGAAAACAGCAGAGCACAGAATCAACAGAGAATACAGCGCAACAAGAAACTTGAAAACACACACATATATTAAGCCCAAAGTCAAAAGAAAACAAGCAAAGAAAAAATTTTATAAGAATTTTATAAAAATTCTTTTTATAAGAATTTTATAAAAAAAAAATTTTATAAGAACCTCATGACAGGGATAAACCCTCACGTTTCAATAATTAGCCTGAACGTGAATGGACTAAAAGCACCACTGAAAAGACACAGAATAGCAAACTGGATAAGAAACCATGACCCAATTATTTGCTGCAACCAGGAGATTCATCTCACTACAAGGGATGCACACAGACTCAAAGATAAAGAATGGAAAACGAGTTTCCAGGCAAATGGATCACAAAAGAAGGCAGTAGTTGCCATCTTAATATCAGACAAAACAACCTTTAAGCTATCAAAAATTTAAAAAGATACAAAAGGACACTACATAATGATAAAAGGTTCAATCCATCAACAAGAAGTATCTATCCTAAACATAAATGCATGTAACACAGGAGCACGAGCATTTATAAAGCAAATACTAAGTAAACTAAAAAGAGATATTGACTCTAACACTATTATAGCAGGGGACTTGAATACCCCCACTGACAGTCCTAGATAGATCACTGAGGCAAAAAAATCAGCAAGGAGATCCAGAACTTAAACTTGACACTCGACCAAATGGACTTATAGATACCAACAGATTATTCCACCCAACAACCGCAGAATATACATTCTACTCATCTCCACATGGAACGTACTCCAAGATCGATCACATCCTTGGCCATATATCAAGCATAAACAAATTTCATAAGGTTGAAATCTTGCCATGCGCACTCTCAGACCATAGTGGAATAAAAATAAATATCAACACCAACAACATTTCCCCAAAGCTTTAGTGTCCACAAAGACATGGACACCAAACAGCATGATGCTGAACAACTACTGGGTCAACAATGAAATCAGAGCAGAAATTAAAAGATTCCTGCAAACAAATGAAAATGAAGAAACATCTTACCAAAACCTCTGGGATACCATGAAAACAGTTTTAAGAGAGGAATTTATATCTCTACAAGCACATATCAAGAAAACAGAAAGATAACAAGTACAGAGCCTAACAAATTACTTAAGGGAGCTGGAAAGAGAAGACCACCAACTTTAACAGAAGAATACAAATCACCAAAATAAGAGCTGAAATACAGGATATAGAAGACAAAAATATCATAGAAAACATCAACAAAACCAAAAGCTGATCTCTGAAAGAATTAACAAGACTGATGGACCCTTACCTATCACCGTACACAAAAATTGACTCTAAGTGGATCAAAGACCTAAATGTAAAATCTCAAATTATAAGAATCTTAGAAAATGCAGGAGACACCCTTATGGAAATTGGGACTGGCAACAAATTTGTATTCAGAGCCCTAAATGCCCCTATCTTAAGAAATAAGACAAGTGGAACTTCATCAAACTAACAAGCTTCTGCAAAGCAAAAGAAATCATCAAGAGAGCAGGGAGACAGCCCACAGAATGGGAAAAAATATTTGCCAACTGTATATCTGACAAAGACCTAAAATCTAGGATCTACAAGGAACTCAAATGCACCAAAAGGGAAAAAACAAACAGCCCCATTAAAAAGTGGGCAAAAGACATTAATAGACACTTCTCAAAAGAAGATATACAAGCAGCCAACAGACACATGAAAAAATGCTCAGCCTCACTTATCATCACAGAAACGCAACTCAAAACCACACTGAGATAACACCTATCCCCAGTAAGAACGGCCATCATTAATAAAACAGACAACAGATGCTGGCGAGGATGCGGAGAAAAAGGAACGCTTCTACACTGCTGGTGAGAATATAAACTAGTGCAACCTCTTTGGAAGACAGTGTGGCAGTATCTGAAAGAACTAGAAATTGACTTTCCATATGACCCCAGCAATTCTCCTATTGGTTATATACCCAGAGAAACTCAAATCACTCTACAAAAAAGATACCTGCACATTTATGTTTGTTGCAGCTCTATTCACAATAGCAAAAAAGATGGAACCAACCATGTTGCCCTTGGAAGCTGGACTGGATTAAAAAAACGTGGTATGTATACACAATGGAATATTATGCAGCCATAAAGAAGGACAAATATATGGACTTCACAGCAACTTGGATGGATTTATAGTCAATCATGCTCAGTGATCTATCACAGAAACAAAGAACAGAGTACCATATGTTCTCACTCATAAGTGGACCTTGAACAATTATAATACTATAAGAAAGCAATTGGCAGTAGTAGGAAACTCTCAGGAGGCGGGTGGGATCGGCAGTTGAGGGAAACTACTAAGGGAGGGAGGGGCATACTTCATCAACAAAGGTACCTGCATAATCAACGTTTGTATACCTAACCCTGAATTGTACCCCGCATATTTATAATTTTTAAAAAGAAAATTGGGGAGAAAAAACTAGAAAAAAAAGTTTTTCTATTCATCTCTTTAATAACAATTTAGTAGTTACATATAGGCTATACTTTTTTCATAATCACTGTTTTTTCCCAGTAACTAATACTAGATTATTTAGCACTGACAACCTTATCTTTAGGGAAGGACATTATAAAGGACAGATAAAGTGAGCCAAGACAAAATGAATAGACTCAATTTCTACTATATAGCCTTATCAAATCATATAAAATTCTATATCTGTCTCTAATGATCTCAAAATTAAATTAAATTAAGCACAAAGACAGGAGATTAAAAAAAGGAGAGGAGAAAGGAGAAAAGAGATTGCTGGATTAAGGCAAAATTGACACCATGAGCATTTCAAATAACTATAACCTTTCATCTTTCATGTTGAGTAAACAATTACTTTGTCCTTTCTTTCATCACTTCTGAACTGATATAAATAATGCTCGATGTTTAGCATCTGGAAATACTATGATTTGGGGCCTGCTAGCTCTTCCTGTTTTCTAATTAGATGCTTACTCAATAACTTCTCCATTTCCCAGCACTTGGTGGTAAAATACAAGCAGCAAGAATGATACCGAATGTAAATAATGGTGATATTAGTGCTGCCCATAGCATATGCTGAAAACAAAAATAGGAAAAAAAAGTGGGTCTTATCTCTAATGGAGGTGCGACAAAAGTCTAATATGAAGTAAAAGATAGCAAAATAAAAAGGTGGAAAAAAGTATTTTGAGTGTGTGTGTGTGTGTGTGTGTGTGTGTGTGTGTGTAGAGGAATGTTAAAGATACTTGGGGTTCATGAAAATCTTCACAGAACTGGGTATCCTTGAAGGCAGACAGATTTGCACAGGTAAAAATAAAAAGTAGGAGCATTCCAAACAGAGTGAAGTGCCAAATTACAGGAGAGAGAATGGTAACCATGTGTGTATATGTACAAACACAATGACTAGAGTCCAGTCTGAATAGAAGGCAGAGGGACTTAAAGGACAAAGGGCTTTGGCTGATAGAACAAAGCTCACAATGTGTTTATTAGGGAATCAATAAATGGTTTCAGAGGACATTAAAATGTAAAAATATATTAGAAAACATAAGGCTACATATAAAATTTAAAACTTAAGTCTGACAAGACAGCCCAAATCACTTTATTCCCTGAAGTGTGAAAAGTCAACCACATGTAAAACAGTATTATAAAGTGTGGCTTGTATATGATGAAGACTCTAACTTACATACTCCCTAGTTATGATCTATCCGCCCTTCATTTTTCCAAATGACATGGTATTTATATTTTTACAGGTTTTCCCCATTTTTATCGCTTTGCAAAGTATTTTTTTAAAAACTCATTCACTTAAATTAGAAAAGCATTATACCAAATTACTCTTTGCTTGAATGAGTCCATAACCAGACCTGATAAAGACAACATACTTTTGTATTTTAAGGCAACACAGAAATCTGACTGGCATTTTCAGTCACTGGGCAGAGACAAATGTTTGTGCCTTTCATACACAATATCAATGTCAGAACTGGCCTGAATCATTGCTGGACATGAATACTCTCTTTCATTCTTACAATTCTGCCCAGTCTCATGACTAGAAAACACAAACTTCTATTACATAATTGGGTTCAATATTTGTAACCGCTGAAAGTGCAGACAATTGCATAAAACTATACAATAGAAATTAAAAACAATAATGTCTTTTAAATTTTAGTTAAATTTTATTATAAAATGTACATATTTTACATAAAATACATTCAATTCATAATTATTCTGTTTATTATATTAACACAATACTGAAAAGGTATTGGGAAGAAAATGTTTTACTTGTCATTTGAAAGCAGAATCACATACTCTATAATAATTTGCCACAGACTATGTTGTTTTAATCTCCTATACCTTTGTATTTTTCTTTCTACCATCCTAAGACTTAGCAAACAACTCTCAAATTTATCCTCCAAATTAATTTTAGTAATTTATTTTCCCCTTATATAATCTTTTCTCAGTTTCTAAAAACCTGTAAATTTGACAGGTTAAAATTCTATTTCATTTTCAGTACCTTAATAGAGGTAACAATAAACAGCAAAAGAAGTGACAGTCTCCAAGTATTATGTAGTTTATGGTTTTTTTTTTTAAATCAGGGTCTCATTCTGTCACGCAGACTGGAATGCAGTGGCAAGATCATGGCTCACTACAGCCTCGAACTCCTAAGTCTGAAGGGATCCACCTTCCTCATCCTCCTGAGTAACTGGGACTATAGACACATGCCACCAAGCCTGGCTAATGTTTTTTGTTTTTCATAGAGATGAAGTCTCACTATGTTGCCCAGGCTGGTCTGGGGATTACAGGCATGAGCCACTGTGCCCAGACCACAGTTTATATGTTTAAGAAATTTACTAACTTTCACGTTTCCATTCAGAATTAAACTTTGGGTTTAAACAGTGGTTTTTTACTGCATAACTTTAAATGGGCTATATCTAATTAAATACTGCTACTATTGATACAGAAAGTACTGACCAATACCATTTCTATATAAAGCAATTATGAAGACAACACTAATTAGAAAACTGAACTCAATTAGTATGAGTTTAAATTGCTCAAAATTAAAATAACTATAAATCTAACAAAATAAGTACAGGATTTGTGTGCTGAAAAATACACAAGGCTGATAAAAAAAATCAAATAAGATATAAGTAAATGGAGAGACATACCATTTTCATGGATTAGAACATTCAACATAGTAAGCATGTCAATTATCTCCAAATTGATATACAAGTTTAATGCAATTTCTATCAAAATCCCAATAAGACTACAAATCAAGAATGTATGATATTGGTGGAGGGATAGGCACAAAGATCAATAGAACAGAGAATCCAGTAATAGAGTCACACAAATATAACCATGTGTGAAATGCTTCTAATGCCTCCTTGCTTTCTAAAGCAGTATATTTATATACTATACACACATGCACACACACACACACAATATTATATTCTATTATAAAAGTGTTACCTTCAAGAGTCTTTTACTCTTTAACAGCCTCAGTTTTATTCTTTTGTACTTTTCTGTTTGCCCAATTTATTATCTGTAGTTTGGGAGAATATAAAATAACAACAGTCCTCCCTTCTATATTCTGTATATAGCTGTATTCTGAATGGTCAGATGTGATAGTAGTCTCATCCTTAGATAAATATGTAATGTCTGTATAATATAAATTCAATGCTCACCTGAAAGTTGTTCATTAGGCCATAGGAACAAGGATTGCTTTCACAAGATGAAAAGTCAAAGTTTAATTTGCAGGCAGCAGAAGTACAGTTTTTTAGCTCTGTTACAATAGTATCATTAATGTTCCCAGTGGCATCCCGAACAACACAAGAACCTGAAGAACAAGTGACAATGAGAATAGTACAGCTAATATCTGTATTCATTTCAGGTGGCTTTACCTTGAACAGAATTTGGGAAGCATCATGGTCCCTAATATTTAAGTACTGAAATGGAACCTTTTATGCAGAATAGTATTTATGCATATACACTTAAAAACCTTATAAACACAGTTGTGAAAAATAGCATATTTATTAGCAAGACTATTTCCCGGTCTATTTGATTAAGATGTCCTTAATAAAACATAAAATCATTGCACTGAAAGAGTTCCAAAAGGCAGTCATGTTTTCCTACACACCAAATGTTTTATATTTGAACATAGTTAAAAGTCAGACTTCAGATAATATCAACCTTCAGGGAGGGAAAGCAATTTAGATATTAATTCTAATTCTAGTGAAAACTTTGTCTAAAAGATGATTACGTGACAATAAAAAAAAATGGTGTCTAAGATGTACATAAGAATAACCCATGGAGCAGAGTGACTGGGTACAGATAAAACAAGATTAACCATGTACTAAAATATATATTTATTTATTTATTTATTTTAGTTGGAGTCTCACTCTTTTCACCCAGACTGCAGTGCAGTGGCACACTCATGGCCATAGCAGCCTCGACATGTTGGGCTTAGGTTATTCTTCTGCCTCAGCCTTCCAAGTAGCTGAATATTTTTGCTAACTTTCTTGAATGAGGGTGATAGTTATACTGAGCTACTTTTCTATAAAATAGAACACTTCTGTAATAAAATATTTTAAAAGTTACCTTGAAATAAGTACTTCATTATTTGAAGTAACATATAACTTACAATTAATAGTAATTACCATTCCTTACATTTTATACATTTTGACATTCTGAAGCACTTTAACCATTTTATTTTATCATATATGAAGGAAAATTATAAACATTATAGCAAAAACTGAACCATTAACTGATAAACTAAGAGTTGAAAAGGGAGAATATTTTAATGACTAGACAGACTACATACAGTCCTTTATTTTTCAGTTTCTTGATCTATCTTTCAGAGCAATGTTGGCAAAACCATATTTCCCTGAAGGTGCCTCTGGAACAACTGGGGAAAGGGGGAAGAAGAGAATCTTGCAACTCCTGCCAGCCCTAAAGTAGCTATGCTTTCATGTGCCACATACTCTGATGTTCTCCCCCTGAAGTCTTGGGGGAGGAGGTGGAGTTTCATTGTTTTGAACTAGTTAAATAATCACTGGTGCAGAGGCTATCTTTACTGGCCTAGCTACTGAACATCAGTGAGAAGGGGCTACTCCAAAGGCTAGCATAGACAGAATGAAAGGAGTATGAGGGCCAGCAGTTATAGAGGGCCAAACACAAATAGTAAATGTTTATTTGCCATAACAAACTATTTTACAAATTGAAACATCATTCTTTAAGACTAAATTTTCATTAGCTAACTTATTATAATGTATATGAGCATGCTAGGAACTTTTAGGGAAACATTTTGATAAGCACACATTTATATACAAGCACGTATATACATGTACTATATAATAAATATATCTCAGTGAAATGTAAGAGTTTACAGATACAATTTTCATAATTTTCTAATTTACCATAATTAATACAAATTCTAGAACACATATCATAACGCATTTGGTGGTTTAGATATATAGGTGTGTTTGTATGCACACGTGTACATACACCCACACACATTTCATTTGTTTTTTTCAAAATAAATTTCAGAGATTTATGTAAGAATCATAAGGCTAAATGAAATCAAAATGCCTTTTTAAATGCCAATTTAGCCCACCTTGAAAATATTTATTAGCATTTCTGTCCCATGATGAAATTTCAAAATTACATTTAAGCATATAAACAGTTTGTAAATATAGTTCTGTTATTACTTCCCAACAAATCAGTGACTACATGACAAAATTGAAATTTTCTTACCAAAATCCAATGGGAATCTCATATTGTGTAGTCTATGAGCTTAAAGTTTGTGATCCTTTGAATTACTATTAAACTAAAGTTTATTTGCTTTTGCATTATGCTTAAGAAATTTAACTGTAAAACTTGCTTACAATGCTTACATTTCAAGAATGAATTTTCTGGGTAAAGTATACAGTATCATGAAAGTGTAATACATTTGAGACAATTTATCAAGTATCACTGGTCACTGCATACAAATTATATGTAAATTAGTAGCATTTAAATTTATCAACAGTTTTCTAAACTACAATGTTTCGGTAAAATTTTAAAAACCTACATTGTAAATAGCTTTAAAATTTTTATTTTAAAAAAAAGGTCTGTAAGCCATGAAAATAATTCTTTAAAGCAAGTGCCATTGTCTTTGGTAGTGAAATCTTTGAGCCTCTATTCTCTTATCTATAAAACAAGAATTTAGAGATTAGTTAACCACTTAAGTTCTTTCAAGTTCTAATACACTTTGATTCCAAGAATGTAATAAAATGGTTTTGAGATCATTTTCATTCAATTTAGTAAGACTTTAGTAAAACTTTTCATTCAACTTAGTATGTCCTGTTCTTCAAAATCAGTTTTTATATTTTAAAAAATGGCAAGAATTGCTTGCTGGTCTTGAAATAATCTTCACATAATAAAATTATATAAAAATATAAGTAGCCACTATAAAAAAGAATACTCAGAAATTTGTAAAGATCAGTGCAAATTTCATTTGCTTCTATATATGAATTATGTTTTCTATACACACATCTCAGTAAAGTTTTAAAGTTTACATAATTTACTAATTTACCATAATTAATAAATATCCTGAAGGAGACATCATAAAGCATTTGGTGGTTTAGATAATCACTATAAAAGTCACTACTAGTTTTCTTAAAACTGTTTTTGAATTATAATAAGCAACTCTATGTCTTTTAATTGAAATATTTCTGAATTTAAAAGTGAGAAAATGTCCTGAACATAAATATTTATAGTATGTACATCATAAAATTTTTGAAAAACATAAATGTAAGGCTATTTACCTACAGATACCGCAATTCCTACGTAAACCACTGTAGTAATTAAAATCGCTAACAGTGTTCCTTTGGGTATGGCTGACTGAGGATCCTAGAAAACAAGAAGAATTTTTTAAGTTTATCTAAAATTCAATATACAAACACCACTTTTTAAATATATAATTGATATAGCACTTTATAATACTTACTGCAAGATCACCTGAGATATTTGCTCCAGCCAGAATACCAGTAGCGGCAGGAAAAAAGATGGCAAACACAGAAAAGAATGTCTCTTCCTCTCGAAAATCTGGCCCAAAGTTCTCATTAAATATTTCAGCTGTAGAGAGCAAAATATTTTTGGCAATCAATGAACAGCAGATTAGACCATAATAATTCAGATCAAAAGTAACTGGCATATATGACCCCCAACATTTCTTCATTTGAAGTAACTAGTATATGTGTACATAATTCAAGAATTAGTGTATGAGGGAATGATTTACAATCAAAATTATGATGTGATCTGGGTTGCCATCCACTTTTTTGTTTATGTTTCAAGAGCTTCTGACTTGATTGTTATCATTAGTCCAAATGTAAATCAAAGCATGGATAATCCCCTCAATCTCTGAGGTCAAAGAAACAAGAAGGGAAGTAGAAAATCAGAAATCTTTTTTTCTCATGAGTTCCAATTTATGTTACTATCTGTATAGATTTTGCTCCACAGGTTTCTCTGTTGCTTACTGATGATATGTCTGATTTTTGGAGCTGTTAGATAATTTTAGCGATGGCACCCTAAGTAAAGGTCCTTTTCATTTCAATAATAATAAAAGCTTCAACTAGTCTAGTCCTGTTGTTTTCATCTATTCTGAAAGATGGAACCTGACACTAAAACAACCAATTAACTGTAAGTTATCTTATAATTAACTATAAGTCAACTGTAAGTTATCTGTAATTAACTATAAGTTATTGATCCAGTCACTGAAAATTTGAGTATCTACCATGTGCCGGTCTTATACTATTTCTCAAAGTACTTAGAGATATAATATGAACAAGCTAGACACTGTTTCTGCCTTCATGAAACTTAAAAATCTCAATGGGTAGCTACAAAGTAAGTAAAGAACCAGGTCATTATAAACACCAGTAAGTATATTGTTTAAAACAGGATATTATGATAACAAGTAAAAGGGAGTGAATCTAATTCAATGTGATTACAAAAGGCTAAACAAACATAACTAAGAAGATAATACTTAAGCTGAAGCTTTACTGAGCAAGAATCAGCCATGTGATGATCATGGAAAAGAGTACTCTAGAAATAAGAAGTAACATGTTATAAAGATCATGAGGTAGAAAATGGTTTAACTCTTTTAAGGAAAGAAAAGAAGGTAAAACTCTTAAAGTAAGAAGAAAGAGACTGGAGTGATCAGTGAAGGTCAGAATATGAAAATTTTATAAAAGTTCAAATTTTACCCTAAATAAAATGGAAAGTTAAGTAAGTCAGAAACACACAAATGACATTGTGTTTAATGTTGTGTGACTGCTGTATAAACAATGGACAGAAAGGGTGAACATCTGAAGCAGGAAGACCAATGAGGACACTGCTGCAGTGGTTCAATCTAGAGATGAGAGAATAATGCAGCAAGCTTAGAAGTTAAGACGAACAGGTAGGAACAGGAAACACTGGGATCCTGGTTACTCAGATGAAAAAACCTGAGAAGTAAGCAGGAGAGACACCAAATGAGTTGAATATAAACATGTTTGGACTTTAAAGGGGCAATTTGGAAATAGAAACATACAATTTCTTGATAGTATAAGAAAAGATACCTCGAGATAGAATATAGTTAGAAACTCGCAAACATACTTTGTGCAACTCTGCACAATTCAGCATTTAAAGGATAGGAAGATGAGAAGGAGTAAAAGGATTAGTAAACATAGTGACCAGTAAGTTTGGCAGAATGCCAAGGGTGTCTAACATCAAATACAACAAATGAAGTGCTTCAAGAAAAAGGAACAACTAAGAGAAAAATGTCGAGACAGAATGAAAAAACTGCACACTGGATCTAGCACCGTGTGATCATTACATTGACAACAAAAATCAGAAGAGAGGAGTTAAGGATAAAACCATTTGGTGAAAAGTTTGTTAGGGTCTAGTTTATATACATTATATGCCCTCCTACCATGATGCAGTGAGAACACATAATTCATGTGTTCCTGACAAAAATGAATAATTTGAATCTGTAGATACAAACTAGACAAATCCAATTGGAGAGACCTTCTAAAAAGCAAATGGTCTGTACTCTTGACAAAAGCAGTTATACCAAGAAACTAATATTTTCAGTTGCTTTCACAACCTTAGGTACTTTTAAACCGGGTTTTATTCTTTTAAATCTAAGAGAATACAAAGAAAAAAGTTATATTAGAACAAAAATTTCAATTTCAAATTCCAAAAACTAATAGAGAACAAATATCTAAAATATACCAAATTTATTTAATAACAGAATGCTATAATATGCACCTTTTAAAAAGTATTCTATCAATTTTACTTACATTTATAACCAAAGAAACCTTTGGGCTTTTTGCTCTCCAATGGGATAAAAGTTCCTATGACGAAATCACCAATAGCAAGAAGCAGAATCACCAAAAGAACAATCTGAGCCTGTAATTTTAAACATCAAAGATCAAAATCAAATATTTTGTGTCTAAATTTTGACTTAATTCTACTAGACTAAAACTTCCATGAGGGAAAGGATTTCTGTTTTGTTTCGCCTGTTTCCTCAGTGCCTCAAACAGTGCCATGCACCAAGTATGTGCTCAATAAATTTTTGTTTAATGAACAGTTATTTAAATAACTGTATTAGAATGTTCAATGTGCTGGGGGAAAGTGAACAGCAAAAGTAAGATCATGCTATATTTCTGAAATGAGTTAAAGATGTGCATGACCTCCAACAAACCATAAAGCACTATAAATTCTGAAACACTATATAGGTGTTTCATCCTGTATCATTCATTCCTGTCTCCTCCACCTTACCACTACAGTCTTGACATGAAGAACATATTGCCACAAACACAAATTTTATAAAAGGTCCAAACAAAATGTTAAATATGTAATTGCTGCAGGAAAAAAAAGTAGAGAAAGAAGATGAAAATACAGAGGAGAATTCAAGTAGTAATGGAACTGAAAAGAAAGAACAATCTATAAGGAATACCATCTCACCTTCTCCACTCTTAGCCTTTCTATAAAACTGAACAGACACTCATGAAAAATTGTCATCTGTGAGTATAAGAACTATATATATGGTAATCATGTTATCAGGGAGTATGAAATTCTATTCTTTTAATAAAATCAATTTGTCAAATGTGTAAATAAATGATCTAATTTTACACTAATATGACTTTAAAATAAAGAACAGGCTTGGAAAAAATTAGTCTTTCAGACTTCTAATTTTTGGTTTGATAAATATTGTATCATATACAGCACAAACATGCGACTTTTGTAAGATCTACAAAAGTAAACATCTTTGTGGATATCCATTACTCAGGAAACTAGAGCTATGCTGTGACATCTCTAATTCTTAAAGACACAGAAATATTTTGGGGTGCTCTCTGCCTAGAGGTTAACACATGACTTCAGTAATTTTTTTCCAGAAGCAATGGCACTTTTTGGTAATCGTGACTTCTGAGATTTCAGTATCAAGAATGATTTATATAACACATATGGCATTAACTTTCAGTTATTGTCCCAGGTATATTTTAAAATTGAACTTCTAAATAAATTATGAAGCCAAATGCTTAATTTTGGCTACCTAACATATTGACCTGAGCATTTCCAACTACTGCAAAAGAAAACTGGGGGATGGGTGAGAAGGTGGGAAATTAAAAATTTAGAAATAATTGTGTTTAACTGGATCCTAGACTGAATGTTATCTCCAAATATTCCCCACCTTATCAAGTAGAAAATTCACATTATACATAAAATTCTGTGAAAATAAACACCTACATACCAACAGAACTTGGGAATATTACCACACTTTAGAACATTCCCAAAATATAAACTCTAGATGTTATATATTAAATATTTACAGGTATTCTTATCTTGACTTACTTTTGCTTCCCACTCCATTCCAGCCACCGAGATACCTAAAAGAATCACCACTGTAATGGCTCCAATAATTCGGATATCATTGATTTCATCTATCATAAGTATGGAATGTTCCTAGAGAAGAGAATTATAAATAAAATGAGCAATGTTAGTTATTTTACACAAACTCTTAATTTTTTTTGGTTTTTTTTTTGACTTGGAGTCTCACTCTGTTGCGCAGACTGGAATGCAGTGGCCATTCCCCGCCACCGCAGCCTCGACCTGCTGGACTCCAGCGATCCTTCCACCTCAGCCTTCCGAGTAGCCGGAATTACAGGCGCGAGCTACCACGCCC